TACGAAAAGGTCGGATTATTTCCTGCCGCTCAAATGAGCATCGAGACGTTGCTCATCCCCTGTTTTTGCAGCGCCTTAATCCAGTGGTAGAAATTCCACATCTCTTTGGCAGGGGTGAGGCTCTCTGTTAGGATAAGCCATTGCCACTTCCACACAAAGCGGTAACTATTTTATGGACCCCGGAGGGATGATGGGCCGAGTCCACCCCTAACCAGGATTTGAAGTCGTAACCTTTCGATTGCGAGCCGCTCGCGCTACTGCTGAGCCACCAGGCTGGATCGCATTATCGTGCAACATTATGTAATCTGCATGAATTGTAAATAATTTATTCTTCCACGCAGAATTCAACGTGTGTACCGTGAGCATGAGAATCGGTTTCCATCGGCAATCCGATTAATCGTTCCACACCTAATATTTAGCACACCAAGAGCACTCCCTGATTCAGGTGTAAGTTCTATGTGTAAGAAAAAAGGCAGCACTTTGTTGATTTCACGGTGGTGCATGCCACTCGTGGTTCGAGATGGCACAAGCCCTGGACACAGCGACCGGAGCGGGCGGACATGTAGACACAGGGGCATCCAGGGTGGAAACGTGGACACGGAGAAGCAAACTGGACTTGTGGACTTGGGGACAAGAGTGGTGGACATGTGTACACAGATATGATTATTATTATTCTTGTTTACCCAGCAAAGTATCACTGAGTGAACACGTTTTTTCAGGAGGGTCCTGCCAAGTTTTCTCAGTTGGGGGGAGGGTGGGGGTGGTGAAGTTCCTGCGGTGTGATCCCAATTGACTCATTTGCAGGTAGCCCTTCAGCATTGGGATGTTTGACCGATACCAGTTGCATTCTACGTGGGTTTTTTTAGCTGTGGCAGGAGGAAACCCATGCAGAACACGGAGGAGAGAGTACATAGAAACTCCACACAGAGAGGCACCCAAGTCAGGAATCGAACCCAGGCCCTTGCTGTCAGGCACGAGTGTTGATGCTGCGCCACCCTTTTGCCCAGTTGACACTGAGACAGGCGGGATGGATATGCGGGCTGGGTGGTGGATGGCAGAGGGCATGACCCGGACAGTGATCTCGACGCATTTATCACTTCCTTGGTCGTTAACAGTACGAGCAAGTTGACGTCGCATTGTCAGCCGATGGCTGCGCGGTACAATTTGGACTCGTGTAGCGTCGTCTACATGTGAACCACATCGCAAGACGCTGTACAAAGAGGGAACTTTCCCGTCTGTTATTTTGAGGAGGGGGGGGGGGGGTATTCAGAGGTTGGAAGGCGACAGAGCGCGGAGAGTTTGAGTTTATTTGTATGTTACACAGATCACGGTCCCGCTTAGACGGTTGCCCCGCTATTCTCCACTGGAGTTCCGTGCACAACAACAGGGAGAGGAGACGGCAGTACGATATTTGTTTTTCTCAAAAAGAGAGAGTCCGTGGCTGGCAGAGAAAGAGGAAGTATGAAGCTTGTCTGTAAACAACTTCTGCACACACAGAGGAAGGGTGATTTCTATGTGCCGTTTTTAAGAGTCAGTGAGAGCTGGGATGTCCAATTATATGAGCAAACGATTACTCCACTGATTATATCGGGTCCATTACTCAACTCATCGGACAACAGGAAAATGTTAAACAAAAAAGTCTCATCTGTTCCCAAGTGTGCTGCTGGACAGAAGACGATGGGGCTGGGTTTGGTGACGTCATCGGCATCATCGGCCACGTCACGCTTGGAGTGGCTTGCAGGGGTTTTCTCGGGCGGACACCAATTATTACCCCAACACAAAGACAAAGAACCCCCATATAGCCTGTAACAGGTTATTGGGGCAAGTGCTGTTAGCGAGCACCTATGAAGGCTGGAAACGGCACACGAGGGGGTGGGTGGCCAGCACCACGCCCGGCCGCCTTTGTCTCCCCAGCGGCGATGTATACACACCGCACCAGCTGCTCATTTGAGGCTGAGTCGACCTAGGGAATGCCCAGGACCGGTTCAGATAATCGTCACCGGTGGTGGCCATGAGCGGGAATCGAACTCGGGTCGCCGGGTTCATAGCACAGCGTAGCGCTAATCAATACACCACCGCTCCTCAACATACACGCACGCACACACAAAAAAAGAGTCTGATATGACGTTCGTTCAGTGGATTCGTCGACTGAACTGTACTCATGGTGCCAGCCGAGCTGTAGAGAGGATGTAGACGCAGGGGAGCTGCAGCGAGCTGCTGCAGGGCTGCTGCAGGATGGAGCTCCAGCAGGTAGCTGCTGCAGGGAGCTGCAGCAGGGAGCTGCTGCAGAGTGGAGCTGCTGCAGGGAGCAGGAGCAGGGAGCTGCAGCAGGGTGGAGCTGCAGCAGGGTGGAGCTGCAGCGGGTAGCTGCTGCAGGGCTGCTGCAGGATGGAGCTCCAGCAGGTAGCTGCTGCAGGGAGCTGCAGCAGGGAGCTGCTGCAGGGTGGAGCTGCTGCAGGGAGCTGGAGCAGGGAGCTGCAGCAGGGTGGAGCTGCAGCAGGGTGGAGCTGCAGCAGGTAGCTGCTGCAGGGCTGCTGCAGGGTGGAGCTGCAGCAGGTAGCTGCAGCAGGTAGCTGCTGCAGGGAGCTGGAGCAGGGAGCTGCAGCAGGGTGGAGCTGCAGCAGGGTGGAGCCGCAGCAGGGAGCTGCTGCAGGGAGCTGCTGCAGGCAGCTGTCTGCAGCAGGGTGGAGCTGCAGGGATGGTGCCTCCTGCGGTCGCCCGTTTGAGGCCCCAGCCTGGCCTCGTAATAATTACCACCGCCTCCCGCTGCCGTGGGGCCCGTCGCCTATTAAAAATGCAGGCCCCTTCTGAATCATTTAATTTGCGAGAGGAGGAGGTGATTGAGCGGAGGAGGAGGGGGTGGTGGGTGTCTCGGTGATGAACCGGAAGACCCATGCACGCGAGCAAAAGCGCTCACGCCGCTACGAGACGCTGACTCTGGGAAATTGTTGCTCTCCGTTGACCTCTGCGGAGGGGGTAAGCATCGGTTTGCGGGAGGATCCCGTGCGACCTGCACCCCCCGAGTTTCGGTTTGCGCCATGGACAGCTTTGATTGACGAGCAATGTCCGAGGATGTCTTGGGCCTCCTCAAGGTTGACTCGGCCTTAACTACAGGTACCTCGAAGAAATATTAGGTGGTTGGTTGGTGCTGGCCACACGTGGTGGTCTTAATTGGTGGTCTTAATTGGTGGTCTTAATTGGTGCCCGCTATCAGCGCTTGCCCCAACAGTCTCGTATTGACTCTATAGGTGCTCTTTGTGTATGTACCTGCGTATGCCAACACGCTGCACAGTGCAAAGGTGCTGCATCTGCCAGTTAGTTCAGTTAACCCATGACACCTGGATCTGACGCGTCGAGCCCTCGACACGTCACGTGGCCTCAAAGTGTACCTAGCCAGGCGCAGGCACTGTGGGGACGTCACCACCACTCGGTGGCGAATGGCGACTGTTGTTGTTCAGGAACTTGGTGATGGTGGGCAGTCGTGGGTACGACTGACTGCGTGGCCCGGATACAGACATCCCCTGTTCACCCCGGGGTGCCACAGGGATGTGCCTTGTGCTCTTAACGGTATCGCACAGCTGCGTGTGGCTCGTTACGTTAATTTGTTTGCGTAAAGCTTGGCTGCACTGCGCCGAGCCCCAACAGGATCGTACACACGCAGTTGCGTGATTGCCGCTCCTGACCAAACGCAATTAAAGTGTGTGTGTGTGCGCGCGCGATCGGCTGAATCGGAATGTTGACAGGTGATGGGAGCTCACGGAGACAGTGTGCCTCCGCACGTAATTTAGATTTGATTTCAATACTGAAAACGGGTTTACGGTCAATTAAACGAGCGAGCGTAAAGACAAAACAACTGCACTCGGGGTATAAATTAAAATGTGTTCTAAACGGGAGTAATGCCCCTCGCCAAATCACCCGCAGTGTCGACCGGTCTCGTCAGATCTCAGAAGCTAAGCAGGGCTGGCCTGAGATGGTGCTTGCTTGGGTGACCACCGCACACAAACAGGCCGTCAGAGGCGGCCGCGTGACCCGGACTGACCACCGCGGTGAAGTATAACACCCACGACCCGCACAGCGCGGCGAGGCCCTCACGCGGTAGTGGATTGAGAACTCCGCGTGCGGGCAGGTCACCGTTCTCACGAGGCTGCTTCTGCGACTGCGGTGTCACCGCGGCAATTGTGGTGGTGAGTTCACTCCACGAAGTCCATGGGTTGGAGGGACACCGTGTCTGTGTGCAAACGGACGATGCGGCAGCGATGGTCGGTGTATAATTTATTGCGCAATGCTATGTGCGCGCAATGTCCCAGTGTATCGCGTTGCACTCGCAGACATCATGAGGACACTTTCCATAAACTTCTCTCCAGCTGATCACTGCACACGCGATCGGCCCAGCGCACATGGCAGACTCAGCATATTCCCATTTTCAGCTTGAATTATCGATCGGTGCTGCCACCATTCATAACCAGCGCCGTCGGGGCTTCTCAGTCTGCATGGTGCCTTTCGTTTACATTCTGGAGTATGAATGATTAATAATGCCCTTTCTTTGTTCAAGAAAGTCTCGCTGAAGTCTCACGACTCTGTTTCAGGAGGGTCCTTGATTGGGATACTTGGCCAGTTTCATTCGGAAGTGTTTGCCCTGTGGAGGAAACTGGAGTTTTCAGACAAGAGCCTGCGTATACGAGATGCTAACGCTCGCAGCTCCGCACAGATGGATTCAGGAAGCCATTGCTGTACTGCCATCTGCTGGTGTGGATTTGGGTTGCGAGGTGGTCACTTCATGTCGAGTTGGGTTATGGACAGCCTGCCATTCCATTCGGAGCCAGCTCCATCCTGCTTAGCTCTTGTCGTCCGGCAAGTACGAGCACATCGTTAACCGGCTCCGGAGTCGTGTTTACGATTACAGCAGAGGCGGTGACCCAGGGGACGGACCCCCCGCGACCCTGTCCCCCCTGCCGGCGATGCTGACTGCGTGCCGTGTGGCGTGCGCGCGCCGCGTGCAGTACAAGCTCAAGTCGACTCAGAAGGAGAAAGTGCGTCAGTTCATGGCGTTCACGCAAACGAGTGAAAAAACGGCCATCGCCTGCCTCGCGCACAACGACTGGAAGCTGGAGCTGGCCATCGACAACTACTTCCAGAACCCCGACGTCTACTACAAGGACAGCGTCAAGAGCTCCGTGGACAGGAAGCGACTGGAGCAGCTCTACAACCGCTACAAAGGTACCGGCGCCGCCGAGGCCTGGCGGACGGCGGGCAGGATTCTTGTCCTTCCCCCGCGCCTCTGACGAACGCGGCCGGCTACGTACGGTGCGAGAGAGGTTCAACGTACACGGACAATTCGACGTAGAGCGGTCGGCCACTCGCCGATTTATCCCAGGAACTCCCTCCTTGTCGCTCGCCCACATCGATACTGCCATGTCTCGTGTCCCCGTCCGCTTCACTCGCCGATTCCTCCACTCGTGCCGAGGACTCGGTCTACGAGACCATTTCATCTCCTCATCCGTACGGTGTTCCGCTACCGCCACCATGTTGCATAAGTCTATTTTCTGCTTCTTTTCTCGCACTGCTCCACCTTGGAACTCACTCTCATCACCTCTCTTTCCCCAAGTTCTTATAATAACATTGCTCAATAAAAATAAAAAAACCTATTCACACTGATCTATCACAAATGTAAAAAGTGCTCTTTGTAGCTGGCAACTTGACGATATGGGCCTTTGGACCTGTGCTCATTAACCGCAATACCGACTATAATCATCACCCAGGATTGTCTGTCCTTAACACTCGTGACGTCACTCCCACATCGACCAGCCCACCTCATTAATAATCATGAGCAGGTGACGTCCTCCAAATGGACACCCCCCCCCCCCACCATTATTATTACCTACTATAATGAGCCAAGAATGTCTGTGTGCAACGCTCGTGACGTCACTCCACGTCGACCAGCCCCCCTCATTAATAATCATGAACAGGTTACGTCCTCCACATGAACCTGCCTCTTATTCATAATAATTAGCGGGTGACGTCACTCCACATGGGGGGCCGAGGCGCCTCCTCCCCCCCTCAGCGTCAACTTACCACCCTCACTACAAAGGCAGTTGAGACATCGAAGTACAAAGGAAGTCATGATGAACAAGGGATTATAACCTTTAAATAAAATAAGTCTGTGTCACCGTGCCCTGACAAATCGAATGGATGCAATGAATATCGCGTCGCGATCTGATTTTCGCTTGCAAGTTTCAGATTTACTGCAATACACCCGTCCTTGGACGGGCAAAAGCCTCGTTAAATATATTTGTCGGCGTGGCTCAATCTCACTGCCGCACCACGGCCAGCAGTTAGAGGGGGGGGGGGACGATGAGACGGGTAGAGAGAGAAATTCTCTAAATTGGCTCGTGCAGAAAAAAAAAATGGCCTGTGTAGAGTTGTGACCTTTGAACCGGCGGCTTAGAAGCGCCATGAATCACTGCCGGTGTTTGAAGTGCAGAGGGGCTCGGCGCTGCCGTCGTACGGGGGAGTGTTTTTAGCGAAACATCTGTTCCCATTTGGGGCCGTTTAAGAGTATACAGGAAAGGGGGCAATACTTATTTGTTTAAGTGCTCGGCCCCTGATGGAGCGGCTCGCGCAGCGTAGGTCGAGGTCTCGGCTGCGCTTGCCGCTCGCGCACCGCGCAGATGGCGCTGCGGAGAAGGCGTGTGCCCGTGTGGCGGCGAGTCACGGGTTAAAACGTTACTTTCTCTCGCTCATGATCCCTGCATTGTATTGTGTGCGTTAGAGAATCGATTATTTACAATCTGTGAAGATAAAATGCTAATCATATGCTGATGTTTAAATTCGGCGAGCGAAGCGGACAAACACAAACAAGACCACGGTGACTTCCTGTTAAGAGGAGCATTGAGGCGACGCGCTGATCTCACGTTTACACTCCTTCGTCAGTGCTGGAAATTCCCCATTTGCAAGGCAGGCGGACGAATCTATCCACGGGACAACCACTGTTAATTCCCCCTCAAAACAGTGCTCATATTTTCGACCCCGGAGGGATAATTGGCTGGGTCAACCCCCTCCCCCCAACCGGAAGTTGAACTCGCAACACTCTGATTGCGAGTTGCTCGCTCCACCGCCGTGCCACCTGGCCGGTACAAACGAGACAACGGACAATGCTCATGAGACGGTAAAACCAAAACAAAAAGCAATAATTTAAGAATCACCACCTGGTTCCAAAAGCCACCAGCACGTGACCGCATGCGCAATTCCTCCAAGTGCCACGAGTGCCACCCCTCCCTCCCTCCCCTCCCCTCCCTCCCTCCCTCCCTCCCTCCTCTCCCTCCCTCCCTCCCTACCTACCTACCTCCCTCCCCTCCCGCAGACCCGACGGACGAGGAGAAGATCGGCATCGATGGCGTGCAGCAGTTCTGCGAGGACCTGCGCCTGGACCCGGCGAGCATCAGCGTCCTCGTGGTGGCGTGGAAGCTGCGAGCGGCCACGCAGTGCGAGTTCTCCAAGAAGGAATTCCTCGAGGGCATGACAGAGCTCGGGTGAGACGTTCGCCCCGGGGCGTCCCGTAGCCGCGCGCGGGGAGGTCGGGCCCGTCGACGGGGGATGGGGGGCCCCGACGCGCGGGGTGACGCGCGTGGGGGTGTGGTCTCGGTGGGGACGAGTGCAGGTGCGACAGCGCGGAGAAGCTGAAAGCGCTGCTGCCGCGGCTGGAGCAGGAGCTTCGAGACCAGGTCCGGTTCAAGGATTTCTATCAGTTCACCTTCAACTTCGCCAAGAACCCCGGGCAGAAGAGCCTCGGTGAGACTCGCGCGCGGCGACGGGTCAGCTCTGTCGACGATCGCTTTAAGGTCGTGCCGAGGTTATCCTTTGTGCTATTACGATGCTTTTTTACCGTGGAAAGTATCACCGAGTCCCATGACCATTTCGGGAGGGTGCTGCCAAGTTTGTGCAACAGGGGATGCAAATGATTGCTTTGCAAAATTGCGGTTGAGTAATTTGCGGTGTAATTGTTTTCGAATTTGGACCATGACGCCACCATGCAATGACCTCATGGGATATTCAACGTCGACTGTGAAGCAAATTGCGTGTTTTTGTACGGGTAAACGCACCCGGTAGCCTTGGTCAGGGCAGCCGCTGGATTTGAGACGTGAACCCCTGCGCCGGGCGGTGAGCGTGCAACCTGCTCGCTGTCACGTGGCGAGGCCAGGAGTCCGATTCACTGAACCTCGATACGGACTGGGGAGGCCCTCATCCAGCAGTGGATTGACAGGAGAGATGCACACTTACACGTGCACCCCAGCACTGTGACAAGGAGACGAGTTTTTGACACCGGTCAAGTCACCAGAGAGACACCGGAGGGAGCCTCGTTTGCGCTGCCTGGCAGTCTGGCTGCTGTGCGTTGCACCGTCACTGCCACTACCGGTGGCCACCGCCGCTGAGCTCACTCACTCATGTGGTGATGCTTGGAGAGCCCACGCAATCAAAACAAGGCTCCATCTCGTGGCAGACGGCACGCATCGCACCGTGCACAGGAACCGAGTTAATTAAGGTGGCGGGGTGCTGGCGCAGTGGTGACAACTGGTGCCTCGCAGCAAATGTCCGTGGGTTCGATTCCTAACTCGGGTGGCTTTTTTTCATGGAGTTTGAATGTTCTCTCGCTGTTCTGCATTGGTTTACTCTAGCTCCTCCGATTTCCTCCCATAGTAATAAAGAACCCCACAGAATTTAACTGGTAATGGCAAAATATCCCAGTGCTAGAAAATTACCTGCAAAAGACTGGATTGGGATTACACGAGCAACATCGCCCCCCCCCCCCCCCCCTTACTCAAAAACATGGTAGGATCCTTCTGAATGAGTCTCAAGACTCTTTCCTGGGTAAACAAACGTAATAGTAATACTACACGTGACGCTGTCGCGAGATTGTGCGCACGTGGAATGCCCTTCCCCCGTGGTATCTACGCGCCAACCCGCTGGGCAGCGACGCCATCGCGCGGGATTATCGGAGCTGCCTCGCGTCCGGCACGGCGCAGGCTGTCCTGGCGGCATCGAGTGGCCGTGTTGTTACCGACTAAAAATAAATGTTACAGCCGTTGTGGTGTCAATAGGCCTCGGCAAGGTAAGGTAATTTACCCTTTTTACCGGGTAAAAGGGTAAAGGTAAAGGTGTCGACATGCCAAGGGGTAAGGTAAAGGGTAGGGTAAAAGTAGCTCGGAAGAATTACCCGGTAGGGTAAAGGTAGCGCGAAATATTACCCGGTAAATACGGTACCTTGTTTACCGCTAAAATCTCCGTGGCGCAGTCCGTGGCCTCCATTTAATAAGTAATATAAAAAAAAAAATTTTAAACACGCTTTTATTAAATGTACTAGTAGTGGCAGAACTCCACAACTCCAGGAAGTGGCCCCGAAGCTTGCCATAACGTAAGGGACCGTGGCCAATTACAGCCAACGTCAGTTGAGCGTGGACAATTAGATCCAAGCCGAAACATAACATATTACAAAGATTGTTAAAAAAAAAATTATGATAGAATATAGTATTGTCATCAGTATGCCATAAGTATACCAAGTGTGCAGTCGATAGCACATTAGGAAGTAGGTTAAAATTGAGTTACAAGATTTGAGGATACGACAATGACAACAACAACAATGACAACAACAACGACGACAACAAGCGTGTAAAATTGGAATCATCGAGAGTATTCTATATGAATAAAGTGCTCTACCTTATAGCATTTACTGTTATAAACCTTTTTCATGTGTAGTTGCCTAGTAATTACCCTGTAATCGGGTAATTTGTATGGGTAAGGGTAAAAGGTAGGGTAAAGGTAGGCTCGTTGTTTTTACCTTTTAACTTTTACCTTACCTTGCCGAGGCCTAGGTGTCAACATGATTTAGATTGAAAGCCCTAATGCAATTGTGATAGAGCCCCCTGGCAGCGAACCACGATAGCACTGCAACACTGAAGGAGGAGGATTCCATTTCTTAATTAATTGTCCGTTTTTGTGAAATTGTTTTACCTCGAAGCCAGCTCAGAGTGACTCGCGTCTGTGCTTGCATGCGTGTGTAAAGATGTGGAGTCGTGGTGTAGTGGTTAGCGCGCTGCGCTATGAACCCGGTAACCCAAGTTTGATACCTGCTCACGGCCAACACCAGTGACGATTATCTGAAACGGTCATGGGCCTCCGCTAGGTCGACTCAGTCTTAAGGAGTACCTGGTGTATAAACATCACCACTGGGGAGACAAAGGCGGCCGGGCGTGGTGTTGGTCACCCACCTTCATAGGTGCTCGCTAACAGCACCTGCCCTAACAGTCTGTTAAGGCTATACGGGAAACATTTGTCTTTGTGTAAAGTGGCAACGTAGTGGTTGGCGTGCTGTACTTCAAACTCGGTTCAAACTCGGTTCAACTGCTGTGCTGATTATTTAAATTACTGGCCCACCCCTAGGTCGACTTAGCCTGAAATCAGAATCTGGTGCAGTGTGTAAATATCAGCGTGAGGGAAACAAAGGCGGCCGGGCACGGTGCTTGCCAACACCACCCCCTCATGCACCGTGACATCTTCCATGGATGCTCACTAATGCCATTCTTTCCGACAGTCTATGTAAGCTGTCAACCCGTGATCAGTGCCCTACCTTATTGCAGACCAATTCAGACCTTATTGGTCACCCCGTGCCCCTTATACATCTCAACGTTCATCCTACAAAGTCCCATCGCAAGGGACAAACACAAGCAAATAGACAACATTTGTGTGGCCCGTATAGAAACGTCTGTACGCAGTATGGACCTGAACTCAATTTCCCTGTACAAGAATACGGGGCGAACCGTGTGGGTTGACAGCTATGAAGCTATGTGCGGGATCTCTGTCTTTGTATGCGCGTGTGTGCGTGTTCCGTACAGATCTCGACATGGCGATCGCGTACTGGAATTTAATACTCGCCGGCAAGTTCAAATTTCTAGACTTGTGGAACAAATTTTTGCTAGTAAGTATATTTATATATATATCTAAGTACGTACTTTGTTGTTGCTGTGTGCTCTCTGGTATAAACACGTTTGGTGTGACGTCACGATACAGGGCCTCTCTTCAGATCTCTCATAGGGGGGGAGCGCAGCCATTTGTGGAGAAGTCCCATTGGAGAAGTCGTGCAGTACACAGACTTGCACAACAGGGGGAGTGTAATGCCGTGCAATGTTACACACCAGACGGTATTCTACCCTTTGTGTGTGGCAATACCTTCAGGAGCTAAATGCCAATGTTGCCTGTTGTGCGTGAACGCTGCGCAATGTTGCGCAACTCCGTTAGCAACGCGCACGCGGACACCTTTGCGCGTGCTCGATTTGTAAGCGACGCACTTCACGACGCACTCGCGGACTGTGTTGCAATCGTGATGTGGCCGCGGGCGGAGATAACCAAGGGGTGGAGGGGGGGGGTCCTCGGCTGCCGTGAAGGGGGTGGCCAGACAAGTCCTTGTAATGCAACAAACTCGACCAAACGCGGACGAAGCCGTTCCCCTGGTGATATGTTTGACGGTGATTTGAATAGAAATTCGGTCGCGCAGCAAATTGCCTGGGGCGTGCGGACGCACCCATGGGCCCTACCAGGAGTTAATTTCTCACCGGATATTTTACGGCCAGACGAGAGAGACTTGAGGGGGTGGCATGTGTGGAGCGGCAGCCACGGCCAGACGTGGCGTCCTGGGTCGTCGACCCGCACAGGCCCGGCCAGAACTAATTAAACCCTGGGCCGCACAAACGTTGAGCGAGCACCACGCGCAGCTCCGAGAGGGCCCCCTCCCCCCGGCCAGGGTGGGGGACTGGCGACCGTTGAGCGATGCGTGCGGACACCGTGCCCCGCAGGAACATCACAAGCGCGCCATCTCACGGGACACGTGGAACCTGCTGCTTGACTTCAGCAACATGATCGCAGACGACATGTCCAACTACGACGAGGAAGGTGGGCCCAGCGCTAGAGCCCCATCACCTGCCAATGACTCGATTAGGATTGCACCGAGCCTCATCGCCCCCCCCCCGCCTACTCGGAAACTCGGCGTGACCCTCCTGAAAGAGCCTTGAGACTCGTGCTGTGCTGGATAAACAAGCGTGATAAATAATAATTTCAGTGTATGAAGGCGTCTAAATGCAAGCGTATCTCAAGACCTAGTCAAACGGCACGCACGTACGGACACTCCCAGATCGCACTTGCGCAGGGATGTATGCACACGGAGGAGAACGATCGCCATTTAGCCTGTAGACCGTTGGTGCAAGTCTTGTTCGAGAGTACTAGGGGAGGCGCACGATAGGTTCAGATGTCACTTGCGACTGATGTTAGCCCTGGCCTGGGACGCAAACCCAAAGCATTAGGATCATATTTCAGTGCTGATCACTGCACAACCGCCCCCCCCCTCCCCCATATGCTCATCATCAACACCAGCCATTCGCCACTGAGTGACATCACTATACCTCTTGTATCAGACGGGGTGCACTTAGTGACCACGTGAAGTGTCTAAGGGTATGCTGATAAGAAGTCACAGGTCAGACCCAGGTGTCATGGGTTCAAATTTACGTCGAATAAATTTGAACCTAAAACAAAATGGGTCTGCCTGACACGACTGGCAGTGGCGCCGCCTGTGCCGACGGCTGTGCCACCTTGCAGCGTGTTTATCCGCCCATTCCTCTGCTCGTTGCGAGCATCGCTACTCGGACGTAACGCACGTGCACACACGCTACCACGAGCCAAAACCGTGACGGTGCAGCTAGTGCTGCTAATGAGGACCTCGCAGGAGGCTGCACCCCCTTTTTAGAATACGCCACGCAAGCTGAGATGTGGCCCAAAATTACTGGAACATGACCTGACCTCCGAAGCCTTCAAGCTCACACCTAACCCCGTGCACCTGTGTGTGTGTGCGTGTTTCCCTCGTGCTCTGGTGCGTCCGTGCGTGCAGGAGCCTGGCCCGTCCTCATCGACGACTTTGTAGAGTACGCGCGACCCGTGGTCTCAAAACCGCGGCGTACCATGTTTTGAGTTTTGGCGGAAAATGACAGCCCTCTTCTGGCGGAGAGTCGGATACCCGAGAGAAAGAGTGGGGGGGGGGGGGGAAGGAGAATTTGTTTTACGTCTGTTTTTAAATTACAGCACAAAACACAAAAAAAGAGAGAATTGTATTTCATAAAATATCAACAGAATTGCCAATATTGTGTGCATATGATGATAATTAAAAAACAGAGATAGTTTAGTTTCTACCAAGAGTCTAACAACGACGAGGGGGGTTGGGGCAGCGTTGGACCGAGAGTTTGCTATGAATTTGCTCATCACGCGTGGCCCCCGTGCCGGGACCGCGAGCACGAGAATCGAGCTGGGCCGGCGCCTGCGGCTCACGCGGCCGGAGGCTCCCCCAGATCACCGCTGCCGCTAGGGACGAGCAGCTCCCACACAAAAAGCTCTATCGTTTATTTCAACGCGACGTTTAAAATCGCCCGCTAATGTATCGATCGCGAGTTACTTATTTTTTTTTCCATTGATGAAATAGCCCGATATTCGAGTTTGTTTTAAAGAAATCGTCCGAGAGATAAATTATGTTACCCCGCGAGAATCGTGTTGTCGCAATCGGGTCGCCGCCTGCCTGGCGAAATCTAACGTCGCAAAGTACGAGTAAATCACGAGTCGGAAACAAACGCTTCACTGGACGTCCGGAGACTTAGGGCCACGACACCGCCCGGCGCAGTGGCGAACATCTCGTGGACGACCCTTGCCTCCGATAACGATCTTTGGAGTCGAATCCATCTTCCAGGGTCCAACTGTGAAAGCCGTACCCTCGTACGACAAAAGGCCCTCCTCCAAACGAGCGGAGACTTGCAGCTCGTTCTCCACGATACGATCAGTCGTTTAAGCTTTTGCTGCTTTTACCTGCGGTGGGATGAACTTCTCGCGAGCACGTGCAGCCGCCATCCTTTTGCTGTCCCCCTGTTTGCCACGTAAATGCGGCAGGGTCGTGGGTCGTTCTGACCCGAGCTCCCACCCACGCCGTCCACCTTCTCATTTCATCTTCCATGCTGTCGCAAGCGTCCATCCGCCCTCCTCGTCCCTGGCAGTGACACGTGTGTGCGCGCGCTCCCGCTTCGCGACATCGGCCGCACGGACCAGGCCAGACATTCGGGATTTGCTCTGTGCGTCCGCACCGTCTCGAGGGATGCGAGAACGATCGTCTCGGACTGCAGCGCGAGATGGAGCGGCTCGGCTCGGCTGAAAACCCGGGAGGGTAAACGAGACTCTGTCCCGTGGCCTCTTCGAAAGAGAGAAAGCGCAGCGATTGCAGTTGCTTACTTAGGCCGACGTCTTGTCGCCGTGGCGCAGATCCGTTGACCGTTTAATTTCAAAGCTCGTTTGAATTCCCTTGTTAAACAACAAAAGAGAAGGCGACCATTGCTGGGGCCGCCGAGAGGTTCCTGGAGGCCCGGGTAGAATGCCACGTCGGGGAAGCAGCCCCCTTGTCCGTTGGCGTGCATTAAAGAGGCCCGTTGTGGGGCCCTCTTGGGTGCGAGACCCCCCGGGGGAACGTCGCCCCATTTGCCCGCCCCACCTCCTCCAGGCTGGGCCACCCCGACGATATCAACCAACATTTAAGTGGCGGTGCTCGAGAGGGGGGTGGCAGTAATTCAATGGCCAATTCTCACCAATAGTGAAGCCTGCTGCGGTGTGCGAGACATTTACATTGGGTTGACATTGTGTGTATATACATTAACTTAACAAACAAACAAAAACTGTTCACAAAGAAATGCTTGTGGCAACAAAGATGACTGCTGCGTGAAGATGATGTACAGTTTGTGGAGTGAGATGATCGATTATGTAAATGCATCTTACGGGAGCCAAGTGTCTGGGGGCAGCACTGGCGTCGCGGGGAGCGGTGTACGACGTGCCGGCGTGGCGAGGGATTGGCGGCGCAAGGGTTTACTCTGTGCACTTTCCATTAAAGAGTGTTGCGAACCTGTGAGGAGCCATCGCTGAGCACTCGCCGGCACATCGGGGTGAGTCCGTGAGTCCGGACCAGAGATGTGTGTCCCTCGTGGGGCTGCAAGGTGCCCAGGGCATTGCAGCACAATCATGGATTCAATCCACAGATGGGATCCAGTGGTTTGCGTCTGCCTGTGGATTGAATATAATGTGCGGAGCTCTGACATTTCACACCCCTTGTTAGCGTGGTTTTCGGTACTCCTGATTTCCCTCCCGCATACCGCTCGCAAGTGTAATTGGCCAAATATCCAAACGCAGAACCATCCTGAAAACGTCTTGGAGACCTTCATTGGCAATTCAAGGGCATTATTATTGGTCCTGCAGGCCCCTATGGCAACCTGTTTGTGAATGGTAGTAACCCATCCAAGCACTGTGCAGGCTGAACTCTGCTTAACGTCCAACACCTCGCAAAGATTGGTTACATTCTGCATTGCGGGATAACGCAGTGGGCGTTGCAGCAAATCACGAGTTGCGCTGTTCCTCTATGCTGCCCTGTTCCTCTATGCTGCCCACCTTCACCAACCCCCATTGACAAACGTGCTGAAGGTCAAATAACTCGCATGACCTGCACGCCATGGGGATGACCTCATCCAGCAGTGGATTCACGGGTAGTGCACGACCTACATCACTATCGGTACCACCACAGGTTGGAAACACTTGCATTTGTTTCCGTGCGCAAGTCCATCTGATAAAAGGCACATTTTGTGAAGTTACATCGCGCTGATATTGCTTTGCCAAGACGCGGTGATGTAGTGCCACCGACGCACGGGCCGACCCCGTGGCGGTACCAATCCCAGTATTGGCTCTGACCCGTGGACTGTCAGCAGCAGCAGCAGCAGGAGGAGGAGGGCACTGAGCTGCACTTGTCGGGTTCGCTGGTGCAGCGTCGCTCTCCGTCTCGAACCACGCGGAAACGCGGCCCTGCCGTCCCTTTAACCCCCCGCCCCCCTGCCACCTGTGGGCCTGTTGCCTACAAGACATCGGAGTGAGGACTTCCCACTTGCATTCGTGCAAGGGGTAAACACCACTGAAGGCATTTCGTACGCACCGGCACTCGAGGGGGGTGGGCTTTGCGCCAGATCCGAAAGTCTTTTAATATCGTCATTTGTATTGATTTGCAATGGCAGCTTAGGTGCGATCACCGCGAACATTGCTGTCATTGTAATTGACCCCATGTCTGGCTAGCGTGGCCCAGCACTGCAAACAGATGTATTTATAGCTCCACCTCGACTTAGATTCTCGGTGGCCCAGACGCGCGGGAGGAGGCTTTGTTCACCGAGTGTACAGTCGTAAGAACGCGTCCATTGATTTTTTTTTGTAAATCCGTTCTTGTGCCCGCGGTGCAATGCGTCGCCCGCATGAGAATCGATTTAATCAAATTTACGTGAAATGTGCACAAGCTCTCGCTCACATTTGGGCTACCCATGACGAACAACAACAATAAAATGTGCACCGCCGTGTCGGAGACACATCCGAGACTCGAAATGACCGAGCGTGAAGACAAGTGAATCGCAAAACTCGCGTCGTTGGCAATTGAAGGGGTTAACCATTGCATCACACGCCCTATAGGCAAGTGGAGATGCGTGTGAATTGATTGTGCGTGAATTGACTTTAAATTCGTGTGCATTTTACGTAACGGCTCCTTGACCCCTGCAACAACGAGAGGTGCTACTTTTGCCGCGGTTAAAAATAGTGAATCGAATCGCGACACCCCCCACCACCCCCTACCCCACCTCGTCTTGACAATTCATTGAATCCATGAAAGCGTTCACCGCGATGCGTCGAGGAGCGGTCGTACGTGAAACTGGTGAAACGAGTGCCACGGTCGTGGTTGTTTCCTCGACTCCGGCCCCCGGCTTCACTTTGACGTGAAAGTAACCGCCACGCCGCAGCTGCCAGGGAAAAACAATCCGACATAATACGCGTGAGAACATGTACATATCTACACGCGCACACACGCGCGCGCGCGAGCGGGAATGAGGGTTTTAAATTGGGTCACTGGCAAAGGTCATCCGAGCCACCGCACGACTAATTCTGAAGGCCCATTGTGGGATGAATGTTGCAGTTTGGCAGCGGCTGATCTGAACGTATCCCATGCAAACCTAAAGATACCCCGCGAAATGCGATTACTCGTGCACAGGGAGAAAGCAAGGCTCATGGGATTTGTGATAACTTCTTAATTTTGTTCGTCTCCATCGGGAAATAAATGTTGGTTGCATTGCATTTCACTTCTTACGAAGCCACCCCCAAAAATCCCCACGCTGGCTATGGGTAAATCATGGATGTCCACCAAAGCAAATGAATCTGCTAGCAATAACAAATGCAATTGAACACAGTTGAAGATTCTAATGAAATTGTTTCCAAAATACAAATGTGTTCATTTGAGACGCCGACGCGATTTGTGGAATTCCATAGACGGGAAAGGGCCCTGGTTCTGCAGAACGACGCTGAACTCGATTTTCCTCTGGCAATCATAACCACGCGTTGTGATGCTCTGGTTGCTGCAGCCCCGCTTCTCACCTTTATCAGAAGCAGCGATTAGAACGTTTCTGGAATTTGAGTGGTGCCCGAACCTGGATTTCTGACCAGGACTTTTATGGCTCAGCAGTTGGGGTGGGTTGGAGAGGGCTTCTCTACGGAGGTGCCAAACAGATGTGGACATGGGATCTGCAGGGGATGAAAGAGCAATTTGGCTTGGTCTGGTCCGGTCTGTGTTTTACACATTTCCCCCCCGCCACAGAAGCCAACTTTCCACTGCACCGTGGACGTGTGGGAGTCACGGCGGGAACGGCTTTGGGATATTGTCGCGTATTTTATAGAGAAGCCGGCGTTTCGGAACAACCTGCACGCCCCACGTGTGTCGAGGCCGTCGCCTTTGCTCTGCAGACTGCGCGAGGCCGAGGGAGCGCGGGGCGGGGGGGGGCCTGGTGCGTTCCACGCGTCTTCTCACAGCGGACGCAGGAGGAGGAACACGCGAAGGCGTTGTCGCGCAGTAGTAACGGCTGCCCTGTACAATAGCATGCGGATGATGACCCGATGTCAAGTGTGTGTGGAATTATACGAAACACTGACCCATGTATTTATATAAAAAAAGCTCAATTGACGTCAGTGTTGTTGTCGATGTCTCTCTCTTTGTTGTTATGACGCGAGAATGAAGACCGAGTCCTTGATGTAACGTCCGAATATTTTAACGATCATTACCGACTAGAATCACCAATACTGTTTGGAACCTCCTGGTTACACCAGCCCACAGGGGATTATTGTGTCAGTCCGTCCGTCGTGCAGGGAGGGGCTGGGTGGGGAGGGAGGGGCAGGGTGGGGAGGGTGGGGCTGGGTGGGGGGTGGGAGGGGAGTGTGGGGAGGGGCTGGGTGGGGAGGGGAGGGTGGGGAGGGGCTGGGTAGGGAGGGTGGGAGGGGTGGGGCTGGGTGGGGAGGGAGGGGCTGGTCACCCCATGGTGCCCTTATAAAACTCAACGTTTAACCTACTCACGCCGGCTTGTGCCCGCCCTCACAGTCGGGCATATTTGCGGAATACACCACGCCGCCGTTGACCCTGGCCATTGACCGAGCCAACCTAACGTTCCTACCAGCTCCCTCCGTTCCTACCAGCTCCCTCCGCAGGAATGTGTTAAATGTCTGTCTGTCCCGCGCGTAACGTCACTACACACGAGGCCCACCCCCATCATTAATATTCATGAGCGGGTGGATTTGTACACGAACGCAGAGGAAGGTCGAGCTGAATGAAATAATGTATTACGCAAAGTCGCTTCAAATATGACGTTTCTTTACAGAAAGTGACGGTAAAAAATAAATCTACACAGCACAGTGCTACATCCGTGCGTGACGTCACTGCAAAAGAGCCCCCCCCCCCCCTTCATTAATATTCATGCCCAAGTGGAAATTCACACGAACGCACAAGAAGGTCGCGCACTCCACAAGCCGCACCCCTCCCTCATTAATAATCATGAGCGGGTGACGTCACTCCACATGCCGCACCCCTCCCCAATAACCATGAGCGGGTGACGTCACTCCACATGGGGCAACCCCCCTCATTAAGGAGCTGAACAATTTTTCTATTGAATATTCCAGATTTACTGCAATATACACCCGTCCTTGGACGGGCAAAAAAAGCTCGTGCCGATATAGTTACCCAATCAATACAGCCTACCCGAGTACCCAGACTTTGTTTGGAGGGTTCTGCTACATTGGGATGCTTGACCAAGCCCATTAATGACCAATTTGGCTTCACGTGGGAGGAAACACACCAAACAAATGGAGAAACAAAATCCTGCCATCTCCTGGCCACATCACAGCCCCAGGCATACAGCACATGGCAAGCCTTGATGGTCACCCATGCAAGTAATAGCCAGGCTCGCGCTTGCTTAGCTTGGGAGATCTGATGAGATTTGGTGGATAGCCTACGAGGATCATGGCTTAGCGCACTGCACGACGAACCCAGCAACCCGAGTTCCAACATTCACGGCCAAGACCTAGTGGAAAGTAACATTTGAAGTAGTCCTTGGTGCCACCTTCACCAACCGACACTGACCGGCATAGTGAAGTATGGTCAAACAATCCCAATGATCGACACAACGTGGGGGGCCCTTCATGCACCAGTGGAGTGACAGATTGCTGGACGATGTTGCTCTTAAACGATGTGTGCGCACGCAAAACATTTGGCACGTGGCCCTGATAATAAACGACACTCCTGCAACACTGGACACAGCGAAATCACCGAGCTCAATCAGAACCCCGGCATTTCTGCTGGGCTCGGCATGGCAGCACTCGTGACGGACAGCCTCCTCCTCACTCGAGATAGCTGCTTCACAAACACCTCCGGCCAGGCTGGGGGCCCGTGTGTGGGGGGACGAGACGTCCGACACCCCTCGTGCGCCGCGGGGGGTCACAGGGAAGTGGAGAAGGGGACTGGTGATCGCTCTTTCCACCTGTTGACCGATTAGAATTGGCATGGGCAGCGTAGACGCTCTGAGAAACACAAACCATGCCTCCGTCTCGCTGTGTCTGTCCCTGTCCGCCTCTTGCGTGTATCCCGTCTTTCTCAGACTCCCTTGACGTCTCCACGGCTGTTTCAGGGTCCGTCCTTTTTTTCCAACTCTCTCAATCTGCGCGTCTCTCTGGTTTGAATCCGTCTGTCTCTCTGTCGCTGGGTCCCGCCCTCCCTATCTATCTGGGACTGTCCTCGTCTCTCTGGGTCCCTGTATACCTCTCCGTCTGCTGCACCCAAGACATTCACTCGGCGTTCACGTGGCGCTTCCCGCGGACAAAACGCTACCAAATCAAGTTGGGCCACCGTAATGCCCTGGCATCGGTGCCCCATATTTGCACCGAATTCGACTGACACGGGCTCCGCCTCTGTGAGAGTAACACTGCACCCCACGGCACCGAGGAGGCCGAGGAGAGTGGCGCTCAGGGGGGCAGGGGATATTTCTCTTCTGTTGCTACAGCTGCTCGCTGGGCACGCGCGCCGTCACCACCGCTTGCTGGTCAACGGGACCCATTTCAGCCGTAGGCTGCCCACGTGTTCAACCATTTTGCTGCGCGCACACAAACACAAACACACACGCCGACTTTCTGAACGTTGCTATGCAGCTGTACGGCAAGCTTTGAAAATGAGTGGGGTTGACAAGTATGCCACTGTGTTTACATCATCTGCTGACAGTGAATGATGAACTTGGGGGGGGGGGGTGGACTCGGGGCAGCATGAGGTCATCCAGGAGCCTGCACCAACACTGACCCCACCATCACTAACCCCACCATCACTAACCCCACCATCACTAACCCCACCATCACTAACCCCACCAACACTAACCCCACCATCACTAACCCCACCATCACTAACCCCACCATCACTAACCCCACCATCACTAACCCCACCATCACTAACCCCACCAACACTAACCCCACCATCACAAACCCCACCATCACTAACCCCACCAACACTAACCCCACCATCACTAACCCCACCAACACTAACCCCACCATCACTAACCCCACCAACACTAACCCCACCAACACTAACCCCACCATCACTAACCCCACTAACCCCACCATCACTAACCCCACCAACACTAACCCCACCATCACTAACCCCACCAACACTAACCCCACCATCACTAACCCCACCAACACTAACCCCACCAACACTAACCCCACCAACACTAACCCCACCATCACTAACTCCACTAACCCCACCAACACTAACCCCACCAACACTAATCCCACCATCACTAACCCCACCATCACTAACCCCACCAACACTAACCCCACCAACACTAACCCCACCAACACTAACCCCACCATCACTAACCCCACTAACCCCACCATCACTAACCCCACCAACACTAACCCCACCATCACTAACCCCACCAACACTACCCCCACCATCACTAACCCCACCAACACTAACCCCACTAACCCCACCAACACTAACCCCACCATCACTAACCCCACCAACACTAACCCCACCATCACTAACCCCACCAACACTAACCCCACCAACACTAACCCCACCAACACTAACCCCACCAACACTAACCCCACCATCACTACCCCACCAACACTAACCCCACTAACCCCACCAACACTAACCCCACCATCACTAACCCCACCAACACTAACCCCACCATCACTAACCCCACCATCACTAACCCCACCAACACTAACCCCACTAACCCCACCAACACTAACCCCACCAACACTAACCCCACCATCACAAACCCCACTAACCCCACCAACACTAACCCCACCAACACTAACCCCACCAACACTAACCCCACCATCACCAACCCCACCAACACTATCCCCACCATCACTACCCCACCATCACTAACCCCACCATCACTAACCCCACCATCACTAACCCCACCATCACTAACCCCACCATCACTAACCCCACCATCACTAACCCCACCATCACTAACCCCACCAGCACTAACCCCACCAATCACTAACCCCACCATCACTAACCCACCAACACTAACCCCACCATCACTAACCCCACCAACACTAACCCCACCAACACTAACCCCACCAACACTAACCCCACCATCACTAACCCCACCAACACTAACCCCACCAGCACTAACCCCACCATCACTAACCCCACCAACACTAACCCCACCAGCACTAACCCCACCATCACTAACCCCACCAACACTAACCCCACCACACTAACCCCACCATCACTAACCCCACCATCACTAACCCCACCAACACTAACCCCACCATCACTAACCCCACCAACACTAACCCCACCAACACTAACCCCACCAACACTAACCCCACCATCACTAACCCCACCAACACTAACCCCACCAGCACTAACCCCACCATCACTAACCCCACCATCACTAACCCCACCATCACTAACCCCACCAACACTAACCCCACCAACACTAACCCCACCATCACTAACCCCACCAACACTAACCCCACCATCACTAACCCCACCAACACTAACCCCACCAGCACTAACCCCACCATCACTAACCCCACCATCACTAACCCCACCATCACTAACCCCACCATCACTAACCCCACCATCACTAACCCCACCAACACTAACCCCACCAACACTAACCCCACCAACACCAACCCCACCATCACTAACCCCACCAACACTAACCCTCCACCGGGACAAGGGGGGGTCGGGGGGGGAGTATCCATACGGGCCCACTCCGAGTGAGCGAGCGAGTGAGAGTGGTGGCGAGAGACACACACACTGAGGACGTTTGGCAGAATGTAATTAAAGCCGTCCTAATGAGTGCCACCCTCATCCCCACCCACCCCACCCGCCCCACTCCCCAATCGCGCGGCTATTTTAATCCCGCTCCGCTCCACGCCCTGCCTTGTGAACCTGCGGCGTTGGCGTCCCTCCCACGCCGCCCCCCCCCCCCCCCTTGTCTTCCGAGCCTCCACGAGAGCCTCCCGATAAGGGATGCACCGCCTGCTCCTGGCAAACCCCTGGAGCACATCGTCTCGGCAGCGCATCCACACGCAGCCTTCTCCCTCCGTGCGTCCTCTCCTCCTGCGCGTGCGACTCGCTCTCGGCCCTTTCAGCCCGCGTCTTCACCGCTCCGCTCGGCTCCTCCGCGCGACCCCGGCTCCATGGAGCGCTACCAGGCGGCGATGGTGCTGGGCGGCGTGGGCGACGCGCTGGGCTACCGCAAGTTCTCGTGGGAGCACTCGCTGTCGGGAGGCGAGATCCAGCGCGAGCTGCTGGAGCTGGGCGGCCTCTCGGCGCTGGTGCTCACGCCTGAGTCGTGGCCCGTGAGCGACGACACCGTGATGCACATGGCCACGGCCAAGGCGCTCGTCTCGTGTGAGTGGCACCGCGCTGATGATGATGATGCTGATGCTGGTGGTGGTGGTTGCCAGGGTGCTGGGGTGGTTTGCCAGTGGTGGTTTTGGCGGCGGTGGTTGTGGCGGCGGTGGTTGTGGCGGTTGTTGTGGCGGTGGGTTAGGGGGTCATCATAATCTGCACCAGGTTGTTTACATTTCCTTTGCACTTTATTCTAAATGAAAGACGTTCCGTGTAAAACTGTGGTTTATCGAATAAGGCTGGCTGACCAAAAATTCGTTAAGACGTTTACCATAAAAATGGCCACACAAATTTATCTGCTTTAATAATTCCACCTTTAAAACTTTACATTTTAAGTCACGCAGCCAGACAGTGTTTGCACCAAGTGGGGAAACCCACAAGCCCAGAGGAAAAAGAGGGTTTGCAGACTGGGCTGAGCTCTGAGAGGTGAGAACTTTGGTGCGCTCAGAGAAAGGTTAATCACAGGCAGGTGCCTGGATTCAGACCCAGGATCACAGCGGTGCCACCTCAGGAATATGACCTATTTAAGCTACCTGGCCAATTTTGAGGAATTTTAATAAAGGGGCCTTAATTTTGCAAGCAAGAGTTGACCAATTTCCTCATCTGCCAAGGACTGGGCAGGGCTGCATGAATTCCCTCACAATAGAACGGTTCATGTAACCTTAGCAGCAGCAGCAACAGAACCAACAGCAGTAGGAAAGTATGCAAGGGTGTGTCTGACCGCGCGTGGCAAGTGCCTTGCTCACTACGTATCCGCACGGATTAAAGTTCCCCGCGCGTGGCACTGTGACAATTTTTCCATCTTCCCCGTACTTTACAAACGGCTCATCCATTTTGTTTGCCCAATTTTTTTTTTTTTTTGCCGGTTAAACGTTCTCACGGTTGCGCGCTTCATCGGAGTGGCGGATAGATCGTGGCTGCGGACATTTGGCAGCCCACGCCCGCCTCGAAACATCGAGACCATTTCGATTTAAAGCTTTCGTGACTGCAGGGATTCATATTCTTGGTTCTTTCGGTAAAGTCACGTAGAAAGGAAATAAAAAATAAATACAAATAAAACATAACGTCGTGAGAATTATTTGATTATGCTTTATTTTTATTATTTTATTATTTCCATTCTACGTGACTTTACCGAAAGAACCAAGAAGATGAATCGAGACAATTGTCTCGACACGCTCTCACGTGGCTGTGCACGAAACTTCCTGCGTGCAACATTCAGATGGGCAAGCTGTGTTAGACGCGTGGCCGAGCACGGGACCTCGCCCCAACTCCCTCGAGTTGGGAAACACGAGCGAATGTGCCCTAACCGTTTGCCCCTGCAGGGACACGTCGCCAAACGCCAAGAGCCAAACGTGACCTTCAGGCGGACTCTGTCACTCGAGCACCGGAGATGAACTCGACTCCCCTCGCGATGCACCTTTGGGCACGCGCTTTGTTTATCACAATAACTTGACTTTGTCGGGGCGGTGCAGCACAATGCAATGTTGTGCTGTACTTCTACGCTTCCCTGTCTATTCTCCCCGCCTTCACCGAGCCGCCACTGACCAGCATGGGTGTAAGGAATGGTTAAATTATCTCCCCGACCTTGTCGCGGCACGGGAGGCCTTCATCCAGCAGTGGATTTAAAAAAGGGCTGGGCTTGTCACAGAGCCTGAAGAAAACCCTTTATGCAATGTAACTGGTGTTTCTAATAAAAACAAATACCTGCAAATTACTCAATTGGGATCACACACAGCAGCAGCAACATCACCCCCCTTCTGTGGGAAAAAAAAAAACGTAGCGGCACTTTCCTGTAGACGACTCAGACGTCTTGAGACTCGGTGAGGCTTTAGTGAGTAAACAAGTGGAATAATGATAATGATAATAATGCCCAAGCATCTCGTGACTCTCTAGAGGGCACTCGCTGGCCATAAACACTCACGGAACTTTCAGACAAAGGAAACAAAACAAGAACGCGAGGTGCGCAGAGCGGGCGCCGTGGTCATCACCCCACGTGCACAATCCGTCTCAATTATCGTCGCCCCGCGCGGACGGCGAATCGCGATGCGCCGATGACCGAGGCGGCAACAACGCGGACGGTTTACACAACCAGGAGAACCGAAGGGCGATTGGTAAATGGGTCGGAAAACTTATGGTGAGTGTTACAGCGGTCAGTCAACGGCAGAGGAGTGAAGGAAGGTCGTCATTCTAGACCTTTGAGAGGAGAGGGAGGGAATCAACAGCGTGGGCAAATGGGGAGAAGGGAATTCCAGACCGGAGTTCAAGTTTCAAGTTGATTTTGTTTCACCAGTCGAGAACTCGAGAGACGAGGATAGATCGCGAGAGTGACTCGGGTCACCAAAAACCAAATGACAAAAGCAAAAGAAGACGCAAGAAAAAATACAATTAATGAAACAAAATAGAAATCAGGGAAAAACAACTGGCGGTGCAGAATACATCGGGAACATCGCACAACGCAATGTTGCGTCAAATACATTGACATTAAAATGTGCAGCAGAGGAGGAGTGATCCTCCCAAAGTTCGGAGGTTGATTTTTGGCTGCCTGAGCGAAGCGTGCGGACAGAGGAGAAGAGAGGAGAGAGGGAGGCCTCTCCAAAGCAGGATCCTATAAAAAAACTATTTTTAAGTATGACAGGGATGGAATGGTGGCACACTGGTTAGTACACTGCGTTATGAACCCGACGACCGAGTTCCATTCCCGATCAGGGCTAAGTTCCACATGTACCCGTCCTGGCCCCCACTTAACGAATCAAGCTATCCCCACAACACACACAGCTTGACGCGAGACCGTCACCATCATAGCCGACGAGAAACACTTGTAAACAAGCGACTATTCGCGTGGGGTCTGTTCGTGATGAGAAACCGTGGGTGGAGACCGTGAGTTTCCGGCTGCTCGGGGCGGTGGCTCGCGATTTTAAAGGGCACTCGCCCGGGACTCGCACACACGGGGCAGCCGATATTTCTGGAGCTGCCCCATGCCGCTCGGGAAGTCCTTGCGTGGCTGATGAGATTCCCTCTCCTTTGTCAGCACCTCCCCTGCCCCCCCCCCCCCACCTCGACCCCCTTCCCCTAATTTGCCGTAATGTGAGCATCGTTACCGTCAGCCCAGCGCCACCGTGGACGGGTTCGCAATCTTGGCTTTCGCCGATGTGACGCATCGCGCTGGAGAGAGGGAGGCGTCCGGGTGGGACAGGTGTGAGTGCTGTGTAGTGGAGCAGAGAAGGATCTAGAAACTTCCCAAGGGGCAGCGGTGGGGGAGGGGGGGTGACCTGAATTTGTCGAGGGGCGACCTGAAATTTCAAGATTTTTAAATAGGCCCCGACATTAATAGCAGAGTACTGTGTGGGGTGGAGTGTTTCAAGGTGGAGTTGCAACTGGTATGACCGTGGTTAACCTCAGTGGTCGAGTGATGCGATGGACCGTTGTCGACTACGGTTGAATGACACGATTGCCTGTGGCTAAGTGACGCGGTTGAGCGACGTGGTTGACTGTGGCCGAGCGTGAACCTCGTGCCCGCGTGCGCAGCGTACCACTCGCTGGGCGAGCTCTTCCAGGAGATGTCGCGCCAGTACGTGACGGGCGCCGACAGAATCCTCGACCGCTGCCCGGACCCGGCCACCATCGAGGGCTGCTCGTTCCTCCGCCCCAAAAACCCGCAGCTCGCCTGGCACATCCCCTTCAACGAGAAAGGTGAGCGCAGCTGCAGGACCGCAAAGTCTACGACGCTCGCAGGCCCCACGGCACGGGCTCGCCTCTTTCCCACTGCGCAAACCGAGCTGCGCCAGGGCCGTGCAGAGCAGGCACGGGCGGCTCAGCAGGCGCCACACTGCTTTTTCCACTGCCGAAAGCGAGCCGTACCACTGACGTCACACACAATGAACGAGTTGACGTGTAGGTGACGGACGCGGCAGCCCTCAAAGAGTATCGACCGAGATTACACGCTCCGACCCAGTCATAGGCTCACCCCTGGCCCTATTTGGCCCCGAGCCAGAACAAGGAATCAGTTTGATTCTGGCTCAGCTTGGCAAGAATGGCCATGAGGTGCCCCACACTGGCTCGGCTCGGATGGTGCCAGTGGAAAAAGGGTTCCCGCGTCAACGATCACCGGGTCGCCGCGCGCGTGTGTCCAGGCACGGGCTTTGGAGCGGCCACCAAGGCCATGTGCATCGGCCTTCGCTTCCCGCGCCCCGAGCAGGAGGAGACCCTGGTGGAGGTCAGCATCGAGTGCGGCCGCATGACCCACAACCACCCCACGGGTAAAGGCTCCCCCCGTCCGACACGGCCGAGCGGCGGCGCGCTTTTCGCCTGTCGCCAAAGTTGGCGGTGCGATCCCAGCGGCCGAGCCGACGCGCGCGTGTCCCCGCGGTTGCGTGGGCAGGGTTCCTGGGCTCGCTGTGCACGGCGCTCTTCGCCTCGTACGCCGTGCAGGGGAAGCCGCTGGCGCGCTGGGGGCGCGACATGCTCGCCACCGTGCCGCTGGCGGAGGAGTACTGCCGCAGGAAGGTGCGGCACATGTCCGGTACGTGCCGGCGAGCGGGGTGTTGCGTCACCACCACCTGCCTGCCTGCGGTGCCCATGAATGCTTGTGGTAGAAATAAATGATTGGTTCTTTCGGTAAAGTCACGTAGAAGGGAAGTAATACAATAATAAAAAGAAAACATAATAAAATAATTCTCACGACGTTTCGGCCACAACGCAAGCAGCCGTCCTTAGGTGAAGACCAGGTCTGTCGGGAAGACAGCGTCTGAATGAAACACCACCAGGCCTGGAGCGTATATTTAAGCTGGGTTGGAAGGGGGGAAGGGCGCCTTGACAAAATAATTTGCATATCAAGAGGAATTTAGCATGTATGAGAATGTGTCAATTCACTGCTGGATGAGGGCTTACCACACCATGTGACTTGTAGGAGTGATTTGACCGTACTACGCTGGTCAGTCCTGGCGTGTATATCACACAAGACCAAACATGCAGTGCTTATGATATGAATATTTCCGAATTAAAGTGCATGTGAAAAAAGACAGAGTTTCGGTATTTAAAATAATAAGACAATTATTTAGAATGTAAGTAAATCGTGTGCGTAAGTGGCGTCAGCAGTGGCTAGCACACGGGGGTACAAACCCTGGCAGCCTGAGTTCGATTCCCGGTAAGGGCTAACAGTGGTGAGCAATATCTGAAACCGTTCCGGGTCCTCTTTACCCACCTGCTCTAACCAAGCCCCACAACGGCGAAGACTGCGGATGTGTGATGGGGGGGGGGGGGGCTTCATCCAGCAGCAGATTGACATCGGGGCTGTAAGTCTTCACGTGCATTTCTCGTTATCGCTCGTTCGGGTGAATCGGCGCTGCTGGCGCTGCAGAATACCACGAGAACTGGTTCTACTTCGAGACCAAGTGGCTGTCGTACCTGGAGGAGCGCGGCATCGGCGCGGAGGGGCAGGACTCGCCGCATTTCCCCAGCAACTACGACACGCAGGCTCGCGACCAGGTACCACGCGTTGCTCTCGTTTTAGGGGTTCCACTCCTTGTAGCCGTGGCCGAGAATGAAACTCGCGGCACCGCCGGGCGTGGCACCGGTCCTCCGGTCTGACGCCCGCCACAACTCGGCGACACCGGTGCCAATGCGCCCAGAAACAGTGCCGCTCTCACCAGTCCACCCTGCGGATACTCACAAACACACGCGCACGCACACACACGCACGCACACACACGCACGCACGCGCATACACGCACGCACGTGCACGCACACCCGCGCACGAACGCGCAAGCACACGCACGCACACGCACACACACGCACACACGCGCACACACACGCACACACGCGCACACACACGCACACACGCGCACACACACACGCGCACGAACGCGCACGTGTTTTCCAATACAGCCGCGTGTCGCCCAGTGACCGGCGTGTGTCGGCTCGCTTGCCGGGTAACCCTACCCCAGGTGACCTCTCGCGGTCACCGTGCCTCCTCTGTTTTGTAACACGTCTGTGGGGGGGGGGGGGGGGGGTGTTGACGCTGCCAGCCGATGCCCTCAGGGCGCAACTGATGCCCCCAGGGCGCAACTGGTGCCCTCAGGGTGCAACTGATGCCCTCAGGGTGCAACCGATGCCCTCAGGGCGCAATTGATGCCCTCAGGGCGCAACCGATGCCCCCAGGGCGCAACTGATGCCCTCAGGGTGCAACTGATGCCTTCAGGGCGCAACCGATGCCCTCAGGGTGCAATCGATGCCCCCAGGGCGCAACCGATGCCCTCAGGGTGCAAGCGATGCCCCCAGGGTGCAACTGATGCCCTCAGGGCGCAACCGATGCCCTCAGGGCCAGACGAAACGTGGTCCCTACCCTCCCCGTCACATCAGCGGTGATCCATAATAATTGTGATGGCATTGTGACCAGTTTTTTTTGTCAACAATGATTTAGGGCACCGCGTTCATCGCAGCTAATTATAATTGTCATTTATGTATGAAAATAGTTCACCTGGAAACTCCCTTGGGATGGAACCTCGTTTGTATTTTTACACTTCCAGTCAACCTGCACGGAATTCTGGGAGCACATCATTTTCATCACCATTGTGTTAATGGCAGCAAAACTGTGGACCAGTTTCAACATTTGGTATCTCATTAGTGGTCAGGCTTGTTCCAACCAAATGACATACATGACGCCAAATAGTTAAAAGAATAGAACATCAACGAGGACACGATTATATCCCTTTCATGACGAGCGATCCGGTCGCACGCAACCAACTTGGGACTCGCAAATAAAATTTGGCGGGAGGGAAAACAACCACACGTTACAAAACTTACACACATGTGTAGCTGCTACACATGTAGCGACACGTGTAGCTGCTACACGTGTAGTAGCTACATTTGTAGTAGTAGCTACTACAAATGTAGCTACTACTTATGTAGCTACTGCATATGCAGCTACTTTTGCTACTACGATAATCCGACATTTGACCCTTGACTTGGGAATGGCGGAGTATAAGTGGAGTATAATTGGATTATAAGTGGCCATCGCTGCTATGTGAAGTCTAAACATCCCCCCAGATAGATCCCGACCGTTTCACGGCCTCGTGTTCGTGAACCAACCGAGCTCCCCAACTGGACAAACGCGACGCGTTCCGAGCACTTTCGTTCCCGGCCACGGCGCCACCTCGAGGTGCCCACGTCAAGCTCGCAGTCGTTGCAGTGCTTGGAACTTTTGAGTGCACTATTCACCTCCCGGCGAAGTGTCTCAGCAGCGCAGCGCGTGCCGCCATCGCTGTTACACGGCAGTGGCGACCGGCACGTGTCCGGGACGTGTCCGTCCATCTCCCCCAGCCCGCCAGCCAGCCCGCCAGCCAGCCCGCCAGCCAGCCCACCAGCCCGCCCGCCAGCCAGCCCGCCAGCCCGCCAGCCAGCCCGCCAGCCAGCCAGCCCGCCAGCCAGCCCGCCAGCCAGCCAGCCAGCCCGCCAGCCCGCCAGCCAGCCCGCCAGCCAGCCAGCCAGCCAGCCCGCCAGCCAGCCAGCCAGCCCGCCAGCCCGCCAGCCCGCCAGCCAGCCCGCCAGCCAGCCAGCCCGCCAGCCAGCCAGCCAGCCCGCCAGCCCGCCAGCCAGCCAGCCAGCCAGCCCGCCAGCCCGCCCGCCAGCCCGCCAGCCAGCCCGCCAGCCAGCCCGCCAGCCAGCCAGCCCGCCAGCCCGCCAGCCCGCCAGCCAGCCCGCCAGCCCGCCAGCCAGCCCGCCAGCCCGCCAGCCAGCCAGCCAAACTTTGTTTTGTCTAATATCGAGCCCGGTCTCTCGCCACCTTCCTCTTTGGGGCCGTCCATAAATGACGTCACGCACCTAGGAGGGGGGGGGGGTGGTCAGACATTTGTGACGATGTGTGACGAGGGGGGTTTGAGAAATGTGACGTCACAACAAAATGCGCAACTTTAAATAAATATAGACAACACGTTCTACTTAGTTAAATAGACTTTTTAATAAATGTTTTCTCCTACAACATCAGAGTGCAGCGCCACATTAAATACGCACGACAATGACAATAGTTTAAAGCGATTTGAAGCATGTTTTTTTTTGGGGGGGGGGGGCAGAGCTTTGTGACGTCATATTTGAGGGGGGGGTCTGACTTTTTGTGACGCCGTGTGACTAGGGGGGGGGGGTCAAAAATCGTCAAAAATCGCGTGACGTCATTTATGGACGGCCCCTTTTGCCTTCTCTGCTTTGTGCCGTAAACATCACAATGTATATGGAACATTATACAGTATATTGTATGTATAAAACAGTGGCCTTGGGCATGTAAACGTTTGCCACAAGGCACGATGGCCAACAGTGCAAAGCTGCCAACCCACACGGTTCACCCCGTATTCTTGTACAGGGAAACTGAGTTTTCAGGTCCATACGGCATACAGCCGTTTCTATACGGGCCAAACAAAAATATCTATATGTTTGTGTTTCTCGCTTGTGATGGGACTTTGTAGGATGAACGTTGAGATTTATGAGGGGCACGGGGTGAGCAGTAAGGTCTGAGTTGGTCTGCAATAATGTAGGGCACTGACAAGGGGTTGACAGCTCTGGCAGTGGTCGAGACTAATGACGGAGTGGCCAGCCAAGGGAGGGCATTTTGCGACACCAGCTCGCGTGCAAGGGAATATCAATCAAACATCAAACAGATCGAATCGATAGAACGTCAAACAGATCGTTTACTTTATGAGACATCTCCTTTACCAGTGGCAAAATATAGTAATAGGTTTTTACCCTTTCAACTGGTACAAAAACTGACACCTTTATACAAGGCATCATGTTTGCAATAACCACAACACAAGCAGTAAAAATGCAAACAAAAATAAACAACTCTGATAATGATATGCACTGTCCTTGAAGTTGATTGGTCCACACTCGAGACAGCTTTTCTTAGAGCCTAGTATCCATTAATGTTGGACCAGATGACGCCAAAAGGCCTTTTGTATAAAGGTGTCAGTTTGTGTACCAGTTGAAAGGGTAAACACCTACTACTAGATCGTTTACTTGGCGAGAAGGACCTCCACCATCGAGCGTGTGAAGCTCCTTCATGGCACGCGAGTCCTAAAGCCATTGGCGGTGGCGGGAAGGCCTCAACGAAACGTCGGTTCTTGTTGTTGTTGTTGATGTTGTTGTTGATGTTGTTGTTGTTGTTGTAACGTGAGCAGGCCTACAAGCAGTGGAGCTCGGAGGGCCGCGGGGGCCGGCGGGGCCACGACGCGCCCATGATCGCCTACGACGCCCTCATGGCCGCGGGGCCCAGCTGGGCCACGCTGTGCGACCACGCTATGTTCCACGGCGGTGAGACAGCGCGCACACACAGCAACAACCCTCCATTCATTATAATCATTATTATACAGTATGTCAGTATAAATAGTATTATATTCATTATAAATATTATTATGATACAGTATGTCATTATAAATATTATTATAATTTTTTATGAATATTATTAGAATAATTATTATAAACATAATAATAATACAGTATGTCATTATAAATATAATTATTATACATATTATAATGATACAGGATGTCATTATGAATAGTACAATTATTATATAATACAGTGTCATTATAAATATTAATATAAATATTATAATTATTCTAAACATTCTAATAATACAGTATGTCATTATAAATATTATTATAATTATTATAAATATTATTGTAATAATAAATAAGTATTAGCAATTATTTTATTATTCATATTATAATTACACATTTACAATACCGACAATTCCCCCTGTTAACGACAGGCTGTTGTAGGTACAGTAAATATTAAAAAAAATGCTTTGATTAACCACGTTTATTTTTAAATTGTGTTTATAATGTTGTTAGTATATTTACGTATTAATATCCATTGTTTAAATATTACAAAGTAGTTTTTTTTGGTGAAAAGGGGTAACTTTCGATCCTAAAGGAGTAAATTAACCCTTTAACCGTGCATTTCCTATACTCGCTTAACGACCAAATCACTTCACGACCGGTTTCGTGGAGCCAACGACCGTCGTTAAGAGCGGTTCTTCTGTACGAGAGGGATGTGTATATCGCAGTGCCGCCCCACCCCAGCACCAGGCTGTTAAGAGAGAGAGATTACGCAATTACATTTTGATAAAGCGGTAAGGTGCTCAACTTATCCGTATAAACGCCGAGGATATTTATTTGAAATGAGTAATGTGACCTATCAGTGTCACAGTGTGGTTTGGAAGGGGTCTGGTTCCATGATTTGGGCCCTCATTTCCTCCATCAACATTACCCAACTCCTAAATCTGTGACCCGTGTGGGGCCCGGCCCGTACACTCAAAAGCCACGCCACTCACACTTGATGCAAGCCACAATGTCCCGAAATTTGAGTGGCGAATCTTGAACGAGAGACGAGACTGCAACACCGCATCCGATGTCCCCGCACAGGCTACAACAGCAGCACGGGCGCCGTGGCGGGCTGTCTCTTCGGGCTGCTGTACGGGATGTCGGGAACCCCGAAAGGCCACTACGAGCAGCTCGAGTTCCGCGCCGAGCTGGAAGAGCTGGGCGCGAAGCTTCACGCCAAGAGCCTCAGCAAGGACCGCGACCCGCAGTAGCGGGGCCACCGTGGTGGTGGTGGTTTGGGGCAAGGGTCTGTACCCACCTCCTGGCCCAACCTACAGGGTGAGCCCTCACGTCCGGATTCACAGGGGGAGGACGCCTGAGCTGGCATGGAGCTGGCAGGGCAAGAGTGGGGCATGTCATACAAGTTGAACCCTTATGCCAAACTCAATGGCGTGACATTATCAGCTCAGGGGGTGCGGCAATCGGTCATGTGGGGCCTCAATACTGTTGAAAACTTACAACACGGTGGGTGTCAAGGGGGCCCCAACTCGTAAGGTCAGGTGGGGCCTCTCAATACTGTTGAAAACTTACCTCACGGTGGGTGTCAAGGGGGCCCCAACTCGTAAGGTCACGTGGGGCTTCAATACTGTTGTAAACTTACCACACGGTGGGTGTCAAGGGGCCTCAACTCGTAAGGTCATGTGGGGCTTCAATACTGTTGTAAACTTACCACACGGTGGGTGTCAAGGGGCCTCAACTGGTCAGCTTAGGCCACCAGTGGCGGTGAGGGCAAGGCACCCCCTCCCTCCACGCCAGTAACTCAACTGCCCTCACCTCGACACATCATGCGTGTTTGAGAACAACCCACAGGAAGGCTTTGTCACAAACTTCTTGCAGAGATCCCGTCAAAGAAGGAATCTCTGCAGAAGTCCGCCCCCTAGCGTGGCTATCTGTAGCCACGCCAGGGGGCAGACTTTCCCGCACGATACAATAAAGAGAACAACGTGAATTGCATGGCAATCAAAAGCAATGCTTTTTTGATTCTCGAAGCGGGAATTTGACTAAATTTGACACATCGCACCCAAGCGATTTGACGTTGTGTGCAGTCATCGGTAATCGGAGTGGCACCAGCAGCTGGAAACATTGGAGGACCCAGTTTAATCGCGGGCGGACAATAACTCGGACTTGGATCCAGGATCCCAGCAGTGTTGGCTCAGAGCCACCCTCCTGGCCAAGTCTGTACCTAACCTTGGCTTCAGTGGCAGTGAAGGTTAGTTTTTGGCCAAATAATTGGATTGAATAGAACATATGCTCATGTGCCATCTGCCAAGCAACAAAATCTGGTGTGAACATACGATGCGTCCACTCGTGTCTCACATGCTCTAATAGTGCATACACTGTAACCATGTTTTCAATTTCGTGTGTAATATGCAAAGTGCTTTATAATAAAAATTTGAATTCACTTAATTATATTTAGATTTAAAGCTTTCGTGACTGCAGGGATTCATCTTCTTGGTTCTTTCGGTAAAGTCACGTAGAAGGGAAATAATAAAATAATAAAAATAAAAAATTTTAAAATAATTCTCACGACGTTTCGGCCACAACGCAAGCAGCCGTCCTCAGGTGAAGAACAGGTCTGTCGGAAAGGAATTTTAATAGTAAGGAGCTGCAGCAGCTAAACCACCACGTAAAAAACTAAAATATAAACTACATCAGTATCATCAATATACTAAATATACTCTCCAATAAGCTGAGCTACTAACAGTAAGTCATACATTACAATTCTATGTCGCAAAAAATATGTCTCCAGCTAAACTTTTTTCTCTTACATCACACGGGTCTACCCCGTACTATATACTGCCATAGACAAACCCAACATTAAATTATATACTGCATTACTATACACCACCCTAGACTATACATTGTAATATTACACTATGTATTATTCTACCCATCCCTACTGTATACCACTTCCCTCTATTACTGCTAACCCTACTCCCCCTTTGATGCTGCTAATCCTGCAAACTGCATAATGCACGGGCATAATGACTTTGAACCCCCCCACCTCCTACGCATTCCACAAGTAGTGACTAATCCCATACCTGCATTTCCCATAAATATGCTAAATTCCTCTTGATATGCAAATTCCTTTGTCAAGGCACCCCTTCCCTTCAACCCAGCTTAAATATACGCTGCCAAGCCTGGTGGTGCCCATTCAGACGCTGTCTTTCCGACAGACCTGTTCTTCACCTGAGGGCGGCTGCTTGCATTGTGGCCGAAACGTCGTGAGAATTATTGTTTTATTTTTATTATTGTATTATTTCCCTTCTACGTGACTTTACCGAAAGAAGCAAGAACATGAATCACTTAATTATCTTGATTATTGCGTATTTTGCAATGTGTGCCAGTAGATGTTAGAAAATTGTCTCAATGTGTAAGCACATTGTGAGCCTATATTGTACAGCCAACTACTGTATTGGCTATGTGTAGTGACATAGGCCGTCACTACTGTGTCAGCCCGTACGAGGGCTGGGGGCCCCAAGGGGGTGCCTGGGGGGGGGGGGGTCACGTGGTGGAGGGACCCAGACCTTCCCAGAGGTGGGGGGAGGCGTGGCCTGGGAAGGGAGGCGTGGCCTGGGCGGAGCCGGCCACGCCGGAGCGGATATAAGCAGTGTGTGGATGCAGAGCGGGGCTGTTGAACTCCGAAGTGAAGACATCATCGGTCCTCAAGTCCCGGGTCGTCGTGTCGTGTTCCAGAGGGTTAGTGAGTTGAGGAAGGTGGTCACCACCTCATGTACAGTGTTATATTACTTACCGTTTTAATAAATAATGTTGCCTCCAAGCTGTGTGTGTGTGCACCTAATTCGAACCCACTACATATGGACAGATTATCCGGGTTGTGGATTAACGCAGCCTAACAAGCAAAAAAAAATCACGTTTTCATGCGCAGGCTGGTTTATTGACTGCTCATCACTCACTGGGGATCAGCGACTCATTGCCGACGAGATTGCAAACACGTTCGTGTGTAAACCAATTACTTGAAGCAAAAATACACTCGGCATTCTCACCCCATTCTATCTAGGCAATCAACAATGGGGGGTTTTCCCTACTAAAATTTAACTAAATGTTGCATTTTGAGGCGTTTGTTTTAGATACGGGTTCGTCCATTCCCCAAATTACCCCAAATAATGGAGTTGGCAAATTAAAGTGTTTGTACAGACGAAAAGAAACAGGTCTAATCGGGTATAGCCAGCAATAAGTAGAATCACATGAAAAGCCACTCTCTTGCCCGTTGTCAAATCCAGAAGTCTTTATTACCAAACGCAACCTGCACATTCAAGAGAGCCAATTAAAACAATACACACAAATTAGAAACCCGTTAATAATAACTGAAGTCCCTTTGTAGCACGTTCTAACCACCCAGACCAGCCAGCATGTTGCCACTTGCAGCTAGTCTTCACCCCACAATTGCCAAGATGACGGTGTACACATCCAATGTCAGCGAGCCACCACCTAACTCTGGGAATGGGTGGGAAGGAAGCAGTCCCAGCCATGCAGTGTCACAATGTCCAGGTTACATTTGAAGAGAGAAAGGAACTCATCCTGCTCCAAAAAAGCATGCATCACACGCGGAGCAACATCTCCCCTCCGGCATTCCCTAAAATGATTCAAGTGGTAAAGCCAAAATGGTAAAGGCTCGGCCCTGCAATTGCTTATTATGCCAATGCTGGCAAAAGATCCTCCCATGAAAGCGAAGACGACCAAATGTGTAGGAGGAGGTGGGCACACCTACACTTGACCAATTGACGCTCTTGCTGGGTGGGCAGAAGCACAGGGATTTGAGAAACTTGCTGCTGCACTGTTATTAAACAGCAGTGCCGGAAGACGGAATCAAACCGACGACCCCCTTGGTTTGCAAATCCAGTCTACGCTCCACTACACCACTATGGCAGCTGTACAGCAAAATTGGAGGGTGGCCATAAGCTTCAGAACGGGAGTGCGGCACGGATCTCGATCTGGTGATCAGAGAAAGAGCAGCCAGCACCAGCTGCTCGCAGTGGTGGCGAGAAGTGGCTACGACGCGTTGGTGCTTCTGAGTTACATTAAACCAGCGTCTCTACAGACAAGGAATAACTAATAAAAAAAATCCCTTTTTAAAAGAAAACCCCCTAAAAATATTAAACATCGGTCTAACATTAAGCTACAAAGCCTTCGAAAGCAGTAAGGGAGAAAATGCTGTATTTTGTCAGCGTTTAAAGCCCGTTTAATTAAGGTTAACATCCACCGTCGTGGGATTTCATTTAGGTTAAAACTCACAATGCCGTGGGATTTTTGGGAACGGCAAGTGCTCATCACCACGGATTAAGGAGCTGAAGGAGACTCCACCACTTTGACACAGCAGCCAGGGCAGGTAGTACAGCCAGGGCAGGTAGTACTACAGCCAGAGCAGGTAGTACTACAGCCAGAGCAAGTAGTACTACAGCCAGAGCAAGTAGTACTACAGTCAAGTCGCACACCCAATTGGGAGACCAAACCACATAGGTTCACGGTGGGGGCAAGAGGGGTCCATCAGGGTAGGTCAACATCACCGGCAGACTTGATCTACCGTTCACACGCAATTATGGGTGTGCAAGGGTCTAGCGGTGGACGTTGCATATTTGTGACAGCGGCAGTAGCAGCAGCAGGAGCTGTTTACAGGCAGCGAGCCGGCACAGCTGCGTGCTCGTGAACCAGGTGGAGGGGACGCATCGTGCGCGGGGAAAGATGCTTCCTACACATTATTGAAAATTATCAAGACTACAGGAAGCCATGCTAAACTAAGAAAGCAAAACAACTAAGGCCCTATCATGGCTTACACAACCTATAGCCCCAATTATTGTATCCTTACACTAAAGTCGGGTAAAAACTCCACCAGCGTACAGAGGCCCTCAACTTATACTTAATGCGATTAGTGCATTTAAAGAATCTCGTATGTTTTGCACAACAAATATAACATTTAAAAAGCCACGCGAAATCACCCAGCAATTGGAAACAAACCCACCTCACCCGATTACGAAATATGCTTAAACATTTCACACATCGCATCGGTATTATTGGTAACGTCAGTACTGTAAATGCAGCTGTTTTCCATTTCAAAACCAAACACATTTATCAAAATGCTCCCACGCGACAATCAATTCCCTTTGGGGCGATGGGTTCATAATAATGATGTGGTGCACCTCGGTCAACGCCCCGGTTGTTACACCGCTACGGGCAGACACTGCCGGAGGAGTTGACCAGAGCACTCGCTCAACCCCTGAAATGGAAGATGTCCCTCGGTGGTTACCCGCCTGCATCGCTTCCCGCTCATGGACTACGAACGCAATTCACCAGAGAGGCCACGACGTTCATGACGAACGTTATTGTTGTTTTATAACCGGGGAGGGCGTTGCAGCAGTGCCGATAAAGAATTGTGAAAGCGCAACTTGCTTGTCAACATCATACGACTCGTTGCTGCTCAAAGACAGGAGCGGTGTTCACGTGAAACACGACCAGGCCAAGGAACACGTCAATCGATTTTTTACCAGTGCCAAGCGTTCAACTTGTTGCTTCTAAATGTTCCCCGTAGCCGAGGGTAGCCGGAGTGGTATAGATCCTCCCTTCAGCCTATGCCTCTCTCTTCCCTCCCAACCAGGGTACACTTCGTTCCGCCAGTATGGAGCCGCTTCATTCCGCCTACAATTAAATGCAAGACATTGAGTGGGCAGTGCCTTCCCATCTGTATGGTGGACTTGTCCCACCGCACGTAGCCAACCGTGCTACTCGGAGGTGGCGTTCCACTGTGTGGCCCGCACAACTGCTCCACATTGGTCAACTTAAGTCCCTTCCTCTAGTCCCGTTTAAAACGCCTTTTGTTTACTACGCCCTTGAGTTGACCCAGGTTAGGGTGCGCCATGTATTTGCACGGGGCAATATTTTTGCGGTTGTCTTGCACGGCAATGCGAGATGCAGTTCTCCACGAACCACGCTACATAACATTGAATTATTATACCTTGCACCCACCAAGAGCATGACAGTCTCCACGTCTGGGTGGAGACGCTTTGAACGGGCGGCACTTCCAGGGTTAAAGTGACCCGACCCCCCCTGCCCGGCTCCACGTGGCAGGGTGGTGACGAGGGAGAGCTCATCGCGTTACCTCGGTGGGCACGGTGAACAGTGATCAGTGGGGGGGGGGGGGGGGAAACCGCAAGACCTGCTGCAAGGCACTGCCGACAATCAAAACGGTGGCTGGAACAAAGCCCACCCCTGAAACAACGTGTTGGTACCCACGGAGAAGCGATTTCCCGCGCTTACCGATGCCCAGTGCGGGTGCAAACTGCCGCGAGTGCAAGGATAGATTTTCACATAACTCACCAACGACCCCGGAAGAGCAATTTTGTTTCCATGGTTATGACAAAGGGCGTTTAGCTGTCCACAAGCTTGCGTCACCCTTCACGGCGCCCACGCACTCGCCATGCTGCCCACACGTGCTCCGCTGTATATTCAAGCAATATATCCTTAAACTCGTGGCCACTCCACATACCCGTGTAGGGTACACCGACGTACTTCGTGACCACGCTGGTCCTAGCGCCCACGACGTTTGAGCGAAGGTGGCCCAGACGAGCCCCAACTCATCCCCGCCGCCGTGTTCACGTCGCAGAGCGGAGCTGGGGTGGAGTGGGCACCGTGCAGCGAGGCCACGACGGGCCCCATCCTCACGCTCTCTCTCCCCCCCCAACTGCTCGGCGATGCGAACGCGAGAATCGTCACGGCGAGCTTCTTGCTCGACTCATTGCCGTTATTGCCCCTCGTCATTTCGAACGCAGGCCTCAGATCGGTGCAGAAAATTTACATTACCAACGTACACAAGCTGACCACGTATTCTCGAATCAAGAGGCTAATTTAGCCCAAGTGCCGCCCATGCCACGACCGCACATTAAAATAATTCAGAAGCCGTTGGGCCGGCGTCAACTCACGGCAACCACCACGGACGGCACTCACCACCACCACCTTCCTTCTCACTTTGCTCTCAATGAACCATTAAACATGGGTTGGATCAATGCGATTCGAGCTTGATGGTGAAGTTAGGCTGAATGGGTACAGGTCAGGTTCCAGCCTTGTGCCTTCCAATGCTAGGCGTCGCAGCAAGCGTGAGTCGCCTTATGTTCGGGTTGGTCAAAAGTATTTGCATTCATCTTGCACGAGTCTAGTGAAACAGAGCAGGTCCGATGTGTGTGCTGCACAGCCATCCCCATCATTTACAATTTGAGGAAAGTTAGCAGCTTAATTTCAGACGTCCTATGTTATAATTACAGTGTGCTGAAGCTTAGCGTCGCAAGCGGCATGCTGTCATGAGTGGTTCGCTTATATATAACTCCCCATTGGCTCGCAGACGCAACGGAGTTCTGTTGCTCGCAGCCTTGACCGGGTAGCGCCGTCGCTCGGTGGAACATCACTGGACTCCGTGGGTGGGCAAGTACGATCACAATCATCGCCTACGCCTGCAATAGGCCCCTCAGCCAAAGGAGCTCTCAGAGCAGACAGCTCGCATCCAATCGCTGCGCAGGACCACCGATTTCGAGAATGCCTGCGATCAAGCAAGCCTTCAGACAAATGGCCGATGGCCCATCCACAGGCTGACTCGATGGGGTAAAGCAGCATGCATCCTCGTGCATGTGGACCTCCGGTGCGGTGGCACGGCTGCCCCGAGTGGGCAGCACGGTGGGGGGCAGCACGTAAGGTCGAGCTTTGCACCGGGAATCGGCGTTGGCTTGAGTGTCGGCCAAGTGTAAGCGTCAGGGCACGAGGTTCACTCGTGGTCCAGTGATCTATCGTTCCGGCAGCTACCAGCAGGTTTTGAGTAGACAGATGTCAAAGCCGCTTATCAGAGGGGACGCTGCTGCTGCTGCTCTCCTAATCAGCCGGGCCTGGCTCGTAGCAGCCGCGAGCGCAACGCCCGGTACACCTTTCCGCTCGGAGTCGAGGCCGGCGAACGCGATCGTACGCATCTCATTGAAAGCGTGCCGCCGTGAGGCCGAGCCAATATAGTGGACCGACCGCCAATTGCCTTTGGTAACGGCAGCTCGGTGAACGACAGAGCGATCGGTGCGACATGGTAAAGATCGCCACGGCCTCGGGGAAAAAGCAGCTAATCCAGTCGAGGCTGCGTGGCTCTGATTTCCACGGCCTCGCGTTGGAAGCGGTGCGCGAGCCCAGCACGTGGTACACGCAGAAGTTATTGTTTCCTGGGAACTATTTTTGTTCTAGTTTACATGCATCTACCACGGCATTCTCCTGCAATGCTTCACACCAGATGAGTCTTAACAGGCCCACTCAGATCTGGAGAAATATTCATATTGAAGGAATAGCAGTTGGTTGTGGTAGAACATAAGTCAACCGATGTATATATATGCATAGAGAAAATGCAAACAATACATAGTCTCGTGGTTCTCACCCGATTAAACAAATAAACTTGACAAGAGCTATAACGTCAAAAGGCCCACTTAGGAAGAAGAAAACGTTTTAAAACTTTTACCCAGAAATGTCTGAATCTTAGATCTGAGTGGGCTGTGGGTCTTAACAGGACCGTGGGGAAAAGGCTGCACAGCCAATCTCAGAAGACATTCTGGCTAGCGAGGGCAGAAGAGGGTAGGGCTGGGTGGTGAGGAGACAGGGCTGGGTGGTGAGGAGAGAGGGATGGGTGGTGAGGAGACAGGGCTAGGTGATGAGGGGACAGAGCTGGGTGGTGAGGAGAGAGGGATGGGTGGTGAGGAGACAGGGCTAGGTGATGAGGGGACAGGGCTGGGTGGTGAGGAGACAGGGCTGGGTGGTGAGGAGGTAGGGCTGGGTGGTGAGGAGACAGGGCTGGGTGGTGAGGAGGTAGGGCTGGGTGGTGAGGAGACAGGGCTGGGTGGTGAGGAGACAGGGCTGGGTGGTGAGGAGACAGGGCTGGGTGGTGAGGAGGTAGGGCTGGGTGGTGAGGAGACAGGGCGGGGGAGGTCGGGCTGGGTGGTGAGGAGAAAGGGCTGGGTGGTAAGGAGACAGGGCGGGGGAGGTCGGGCTGGGTGGTGAGGAGACAGGGCAGGGGGAGGTCAGGCTGGGTGGTGAGGAGACAGGGCAGGGGGAGTTAGGGCTGGGTGGTGAGGAGACAGGGCAGGGGGAGGTAGGGCCGCCGGGTGGTGAGGGGACAGGGCGGCGATTGGCTGGGAGGGTGGCGAGGATGGAGAGAGGCCTAGATGGACTGGTAGCCGGAGTGGCTGCGGCGTCTTCCGATGATGTAGGCCACAAGTACGACGAGCACGAGTGCGGCCAGCACGGAGCCCACGATGATGGGGATGAGCATGTTGTCCGTGTCCTGCGAGCATTTCTCGGCTGGGGGAAATCACAGCGCAGAGATCGGCAGCATTGCACACGCAGTTAATCGTACGCACGGAAAATCGGGCAAAGATACCCGTGCAGACTTTGGACTGTTGTTGGTCCAAGTACTTGTTTGGAAATATCTATCAAGGGCAGCGAGGCATAACGAGGGAGTGGGGTGTGTGACAAGAGCCACGCCCGGCCCTGTGCTGATGTTCGCATGCCACATCAGGTACTCATTTATGATCGTGTCGACCAAGCACAGACCCAGGTCCGGTTCAGATCTCGATCACCACTTAGAAGTTAAGCGTAGTCGGGAATCTTCACCTTTAAGGCCGCCGAGTTTAAGCGCAGCGCACTCGCCACTTTGCGCCACCACTCCCCACGTTAACCAAAGACAATAGTTACAAGACCCCCCCCCCCCCCCCCGTATGGCGTCTCTTACAGACTGTTGGGGCAAGTACCGTGAGCGGACGACTACTCAGGCCGGGACGGCACACGAGGGAGTGGGGGTGGCCAGCATCACGCCTGGCCGCCTTCGTCTCCCTCGTGGGGAGGTTTCGACATCGCACAAGGTACTCAATGGACGCCAAATCGACCCACGTTCACCGCGTGCACACACGGGCACGCACAACTGCGAGTATCACTGGCGGCTAATGAGTCGCCGAAGTGCAATGTAGCGGATACTGACCAATCGCACCTTTGCAGGACGTACAGAGTTTATTCGGCAACCGCAGGTGCCATCGAACGGCTCTCCAAATTCAACACGCAAATATTAACGAAAGCCCAACACGCCCGTCAATAACAACGCCCTAGAACAACATAGTCCCTTTTTCATCTCTCTGCTACGGGCAGAGAGATGAAAACGTGGCCTCTTATGTTTTCCCCTCTCGGGCAGTGCTTGTTGTTATTTACGCTTGAGCACCACTGCCAACGTACGACCGTAATAAGTTGAACATATTACAAGGTCAACACATTCTGCCCACCGATTTCCCAACGCCAAACGAAAGAGAGAGGTAGCGAGAGCGCGGGGTGGGGAGACGGACCTGTAGACAAGTTGTAGCTGGTGACGTTGAAGGGCTGCAGTTGGACTTGCGAGATAACCACCCGGACGGTGTGGTTCACGGTGCTGTTCACCACCGCGTACTGCTCCGCCATGCACGCGTACGAGTTGCCCACGCTCGCCTGGAACAGCTTCAGCGAGTTGTTGGCTCCCATGTATGTCTCTGCATGGGCACAAGCACCACAGCGGAGGAGGCAGCGCAGTTGCGCGATGGCGTGCGCGTTTGTGCCGCGGCGGTGCACGCTGCGCATGGCGCGACTGTTATAATAATTTTAACTTGCAATGGTCCATCGCCGACGCACAGTAATCGCTCGTACAAAGAGAACGACGCGGAGACGCGAGGTGGAACTACGGACGAGCAGGAAGGCGGTCACACGATGAGCCGCCGCCAATAATTGCCCAAGCTCTGCGGTCCCCTACATATTAAAAAGGTGTCATCGGACATTTAACGAGTGTTTATATGCGGGATGAAACCGGAGCAACAGGAGAATAACTCGTACGAAGGAGCGGGTACTCTATGGCGACACCTCAATGCCCACCAACCATCGTCCCCCCCCCACGGTACTGGATTACATGCCACGTGCACAGCCTCCATCCGCATCGTTGTTACATTCTGCCCAGAATTGGCCAGGAGGCTCAGCGGCAAGAGCGAGTGAGCGGCTCGTAATGGGAAGGTTGAAACTTCTCGGTGGGGGTTGACCCCACCTATCATCCCTCCGGGGTCGGCTAAATAGAATACCACTTTGCGGGGAAGTCAATATTGGTTGTCCTACTACAGATAAACTCACCCCCCCCCCCCATCATGGGAATGGGGAGTTTCCACCACTGGCTCAGTGCTGTAAAGAGGACGTGATCACCAACACAATGCTCATTTGATGGGAAATCACTTTGGGTGGCGAGTGCTTGTTCAGCGTGCATGGATATTAATTATAGTAAACACATAACAGGCCCTATTTTCCATGGTATGAAAGACCGCATCAGCACATGCTGTAAGACTGCGTATAACTGGAACGAATCGTGAAAGATCCATGCTCCATAGAAGCATTTTAATCCGCCTCTCTTTGTGGTTTTATTTTTAAGCTCGTCAATACACGGTGGCTTACGGTTACCAAAACGAATGGGGAAGAGACCGCCGCTTTGAACGCAATGAACTGGAGGCAGACCAGACTTCATAAGGACAGCTTTGTAACGTATGCGTGTACAATGTTTTATACTCTCAAGCATGTGGAACATTTTTCATCTTATTATCATCATTAAACTTGTTTATAAAGGAAAGCCTCACCGAGTCTCAAGACTCTTTTTCAGGAGGATCCTGCCAAGTTTTCACAGTCGCCTGGACGATGTTGCTGTTGTGCGTAATCGAGTAATTTTCAGGTAACTATTCAGCAATGGGATGTGGTTTGCCCAACACCAATTACATTGCATGCATGTTTCGCTACAAGGGGAAACCGGAGGTCCAGGCAGAAATCCATGCAGGAGAGAGGGAGAGAACACACTAACTCCACACAGCAAGATGCTCAACTCGGGAATCCAAGCCAGGACATTCACACCGCGAGGGCCAGGCCAGTGTTATGGCTGTGCCACCCCGCCACCCATGTCAAGACGATGAAGGATGCAACGCACATCATCGGTGGGTAACCGGGGAAAGATCGCATATCACCCTGAACGACGAGCACCGTCAAAACACCCCAAAGAGAACGCTCCGGCTGTGGGCGATGGCCACGGCCAGTTTAACGACGCACCGTGCGCACAACCACGAAGGGTACCTGCACGTCTTCTTGGTTCTTTCGGTAAAGTCACGTAGAAGGGAAATAATAAAATAATAAAAATAAAACATTAAATAATTCTCACGAAGTTTTGGCCACAACGCAACAGACCTGTCTTCCCGACAGACCTGTTCTTCACCTGAGGACGGCTACTTGCTTTGTGGCCGAAACGTCGTGAGAATTATTTTATTTTGTTTTATTTTTATTATTTTATTACTTCCCTTCTACGTGACTTTACCGAAAGAACCAAGAAGATCGTGAGAGTTATTTAATGTTTAATTTTTATTATTTTATTATTTCCCTTCTATGTGACTTTACCGAAAGAACCAAGAAGATGAATCCCTGCAGTCACGAAAGCTTCAAATCGAAATTGTGCCTGCACGGTCGTATCAACGCCCTGGGGAACAGGAATGGCGTGAGCGGAGGCACTCGTTAAACTCACCGTGAGGCGCCGCGTCAGGGAAAGCATACTGGAGCTGGCCCTCCAGCTTATGCAAGTAAAACTTGCTCTCGTTCTGCGAGGAGGGACAAGACACAGTCCACTGGTGAGTCGTAGGGCAATTGCGCACAGAGGGATATAAAGCAATCAGCTCTACTCGAGGACGATTATTTTCCTGACACAAAGTGTGACGATGTTTTCTGGCCGGTGTGTTTGTGGTTCTCAAAACCATCAAAGCCACGAGAGGGGTGTGAGGAATAGAACTGTGGGCGGCGTACAGCACTGGCGACAGAGCCCTCACCTTGGCGAATGTGAAATTCAGATAACCCTCGGGGTACGTGAGGTTCAGCATGGGCGAGATGGGGTCACAATGGCCGGTGGCCTTGGTGTTATTGGGATCCACGTTGAATATGCCATGGGCGACCTGTGAGGAGATAACAACCACCTCCGATTGGCACGGTTGGCTACGTACGGTGCGAAAGAAATTCAACATACGTGTAACCGTTCGTCAGAAAGCAGATGCTGATTGTTTCAGAGCTGTGGGAGTGAACAGCATTTCCAATGCTGCCAAGTGCTGGCTTTGCAAAATAGTGAGATGAGTGAAGATCGAGTTTAATACATTTTCATCAGCTGTGTGAGAAGTCGAGAGCAGGACAGCGTCTCATTTACATGAGTGATCCTGTGTCAACAAAATCAACGCAAATTAAGCACAGCAATGACTCAAATGTAAATCAGAGCAAAGACAACCGTGCAACGTAAGATATTGACAATGTAGCACAAACACAAAATGAATGTGATATTATCACTTCCCTGTGGCACAAGATGGTTCTGGCATCTAATTTGTAGACTCACCATAGAAGAATTTAAGTTAAAAGATGTAGAATCTTTAAACAGATATACAGCATACATCGCACAAATATGTAAACAGACGAGGATGCGTGTCAAACGCAACTGCGGGCGAATCGAGATAACATCCACGGCCAAAGCCAATGTGCCACCGCACCTCGCCACCAAAAGCTCTACAAAACCGTCATCCGTTAAGAGGTTTTTGGGTTAGATCGCCTAAATATAAATGCATCGTAAAACCTACCACCACCCGACACAGCCACTTAGTAAGGTTTGTCACGTAAAACAGAACGTGCCAGTTCGTCACTAGTTCAGCACACCGGTGTGTGTTGGGAGAGTAAAATCCACAACACTTACAATTGGAGCACAACTTTCGCCAGCAATTACAACCAGCATCATCAGGCATAACATTGGTCGCGAAATCCTATGACGTGTTAAGCCAAGTGCCGACCGGTGGGGGCCGTGCACAGGGCATGGGGGGGGGGGGGTACGCACCTGTTTGGTGCTTTGGCTCATGTACTCGACGTTGAAGCGCAGGGCCAAGACGGCAATGAGACAGGTGTGGTTGTCTTGGCTGATGCTGTAGTTGCCCTTGGAAGGCGCCGACGGTGGTGACGGCGGAGGATGAGTGGGAGGATGAGTGGGATGATGAGTGGGATGATGAGTGGGATGATGAGTGGGAGGGGCGGGGGATTTTGTCGGTTTGGGCGCATGCGTGGTGTGGTTGTGCGGCGGCGTGGTATGGGTGGTCGGAATGGTGACATCCTCCGAGCACCTCGCGCCTGTAATGAAACGCACGACGGGCCCGGCGAGGAGGTTACGACGCAAAGCTCTTCGCAACCTTCCCTTGACCACCGCAAACACAGCAACGCCGCCCCCCCCCCCCCCCCTTTACGTGGTGGCTCGGCACGCGGCCTGCAATCCAATGCGGCCTGCAATGCAACGCTGTGGAGGCAACAAGGGTTGGTTTATCGCACAAATCTCTGGGTGCCATATCCTGTCTCGCAAGGAGGTGGTACAGAAAGTGTGGACTAATATCTCCAACGTTCCCATCTGAATGGGATAGAGTGTTGTCCCCACGCACACGTGGGTGTTCTCCCACACGTACCAACACTCATTAATTGGCTGAAAACATCTTAATATATATACACACACACACCTCTGTGTATGCAGAGATTGTGCAGTGTTGCAAGATGCAGTTTGCACGAATGGCACGCTGTAAAAATACTCGGTATCATTATTATTATTACTTCATGGTACAATGTGACCACTAGACCGGTTTCCTGGGTACACCGACTGAAATCCAGCACGTCGACGGGGGTGGCACGGTGAAAATACGAACTACGTGCCCACACAGCTGTACACAAGGTGTCTCGGGGCACATTCTGACAAGACAGCAAAAACCACGTCTGCATTGAAAGCAGGAAAACCAAACGCCTCGCGAGACAGTGGATGCCCGCCGGTGGCACGAGGTGGAGAGGCGAGCGGTCAACTGCCGTGCGTACCTGGTGAGAAGGTGCCGTTGGCGATGCCGAAAGGCTGCACCTGCACGTCTGTCGCGACTAGACTAAGAGCCATTCCAAGAACAACCGTGTTCCGGGAGTGACACTCAAACGATTCGTTGGATGGTGCTAGAGGGATCTTGGGGTGGAAGGTATCGTTATAAACTGTAAAAAAAACACAAACACAAAAACACGGGGGAATGAAGGCCGTGCTTCGTCACAAACACCTACACGGAGTCGACACTCATTCTGTCGCGACCTCAGCACAGTGCGTTTATCAATACAATGCCATGAGGAGCATTCTCTCTACGTATCAATATAACGAGACCATAAGAGGGTTGTTTTTGGGTTAGATCGCGTAAATATAAATGTGTTGTTAAACCCGCCACCACCCGACACAGCCAATTAGTAAAGTTTGTCACGTAAACAGAACGTGGCCAAATCGTTCCTAGTACAGCACACCGGCGTTGTGTAGAGTAGTGTAGTGTATAGTGTAGTATCCTAGTACAGCACACCGGTGTGTTGGAGAGCCAAGCCACAACATTTACAATCTGAGTACGACGTTTCGCCAGTAATTCCAACTAGCTTCATCAGGCGACTTGTGGAGAAATCCTCCTGTTTTGTTCCCAAAATGGAGGGATGAAACAGGAGGAAGACTTCTCCACAAATCTGCCTGTCGCCTGATGAAGCTAGTTGGAATTACTGGCGAAACGTCGTATTCGGATTGTAAATGTTGTGGCTTGGCTCTCCAACACACCGGTGTGCTGTACTAGGATACTACACTATACACTGCACTATACACTATACTATACACTACACTACTATACACTACACTATAAACTACACACTAGTGCTGTACTAGTGACGAATTGGCCACGATCTGTTTGCGTGACAACCCTTACTAGTTGGCTGTGTTGGGTGGTGGCGGGTTTAACAACACATTTATACATTTACGCGAATTAACCCAAAAAAAACCTCTATTATGGATGATATTGGTCGCAAAAGCCTCAGTGTTTAACAATGTGACCATTTCTTACCGTGGGCTGCAGGGGGTAAGGACAGTTTAGCTGTAACAGATTCCAAGAATGCACTTTTGTCCACCTGGAGGAGGAAAAGAGAAAACATAAGATAGTCTGCAGCGCAAAAACACGACGCACGTAACAAGGATACACTCCCGCTGCTGCTTATTTCCAACCCTGATGAAACATCCCAAATAGACGTGGGCTTTGAAGACTCCAATATTAGACCGTGTGAAACCCACAAAAGAGGCTTTTGGGTTAGATCGCGTAAATATATAAACGTGTCATTAAAACCCGCCACCACCCGACACGGCCAACGAGTGAGGGTTGTCACGTAAACAGAGAGCCAAGCCACAACACACCGGTTAGTGCTGTACTAGTGACGAATTATCACGTTGTGTTTACGTGACAACCATTACTAGTTAGCCGTGCCGGGTGGTGGCGGGTTTTAACGACACGTTTATATATTTACGCGATCGAACCCAAAAACCTCTTATGGATGATATTGGTCGCGAAAGCATACGTGTTAAATTGTATGAAACCCGTGAGTTGTAAAAAAGCGGGCATTACCTTATTAAAAGTGAACAAGACATATCCCTCTTTGAAATGGAGCTTCAGCGTGGAGGTACTGGATAGACAAGCACCACTGGCATTGGTGACATTCGGATTGATGTCGAACTTCAGGAAGCCCTGCAAAAGAAACCAAAGTTATGCGAGTCCAACGTCACGTAAGCTGCCAGAGACAGGACCCCGGCTGTCCACAGGTAACACGGAACACCCCAAAAGGGAGGCAGCGGAGTTATCCTGCCATCGCTTCTAAACATCTGTCATATCTCAACTAAACAATTTCTTTATTTTAACCAGGTAAGGCCCCTGAGAGCTACAGAGCTCTTTTTCAGAAGCGACCTGGCCACAAATGATAGCTCAACAAAGTGGCTTATCGTGTGGAAATTTAAAGCAGCCAAATACTCTAAACGCATGTTTCCAAATGCGGAGGGGTTAAACGGAGGACTCGCGAACAAAAATCCAGGCGACCACAGGGAAAACACGCGAACTCCAAATACACAGCAGGCATCAGGGTTCAGATTGAACTCATGGCCTCCTGTATACCAGGTGAGGTAGTTAACATCTCACAACCCAGCGGTGTCACATTGTAACTTAAGAGTATAACGTAATCTCAGTGATGCAGCAGACACATGAAACCACGAGCGGTGATCCTGCTCACAGGGAAGAGGTACCCCATTTGCTTCTGCCCAACTTAAACTGCAACGCACATTTCAATTGAGATCATGGCAGGGCTGTGGGCAACATAAAACATTGAGCAGAATGTAAGCGATAGAGTGTCAATTAGGGATTAGCTAAGATCCTGGTCCGACCTCAGGCGTCGGCTTGTGATTAAACTGGCTTCTCAAGTGGTCTCAGCCTGGCCAAATTAAAATTAGCCAAATTCCATCTCTGGTAATTTCCAATAGGGGTTTGACTGCGGCGCGTCAAAACTTACTCTCACTTGAAGAAACCTCAGAGGTAGCTCTCCAATATCCACTCACGAGACGGGAATACACATCACGCTAGTGGTGAGATAGGCTGCTCCGACTCGATGTTGAGCACCCTCTCGCTTGGCACGCACTCACACAAGGGATAGTGCCAGACTGCTTGACTCACCAGACCGTTGGTGTTGTTCACAAGCAGCTGCAGAGCCGCCTGCGCCTTCAGACAAACCCGCCTGCCATCGTAGACTTCATAGTGGCCGATATCTGGAGCAGCAACCACCCATCCCACTGCAGGGGAATAACAGCACACCACAACACATGAGCGATGGTAAGGATGTACGTGCACACGCCCTGTTGACAATCCTCTGCGGGATATTACCTCCAAACGCCGTGCAGGTGCGAGGGTTTACCAGACCATACCTGAACACTCTGGTCAGTGCGGGTTGGTCAAGTCTGGGAGCACGGAAGTACAGTAAAACCTTGGATTGCGAGTAACTTGGTCTGCGAGTGTTTTGCAAGACGAGCAAATTTTTAAAATAAATATTAATTTGATAAACGAGCGAGGTCTTGCAATACGAGTAGTACGTGTATACGCTTTGTCTGCCGAGCGTCACATGATCACAACTGATATACCAGTGCTTTGGATTACAAACACGTTTCCGGAACAAATTATGCTCGCAATCCAAGGTTTTACTGTACAGTACACCAATGGATTTTTCTGCAATGTCCTCTGCTGCCCACAATCTAACCCCGCAACAGCCTACAGCCCCTGTTTTGTGCACAAGTGGTCACCTATTCAAGAGCTATCCAGGTTCAAAACCTGCTCACGGGATCGGGCGAATGAGCAGGTGAGTTGGTCACGCGCTCATTGAGATAACGATACCCATTATTTATCCAGGACATGCGGGGCGCTGCTTCGGTTGTATTTTCAGAGCAGCCAAAATAATACAGAGAATGAAAGCAGAAGTGTGGACTTTGTGCGTGCGGTTATCGGGGCTTTCCACTGGCCTGCAGGAACGTGGAAGCTGTGAAACTCTGCGCGTACGGACGCTCGCCGACATGAACAATGAAAGGGAACCAAGGAAAGACAGCTAAAAATATATTACAAGTGGTGACTGCTGTAGAATGGAGATATAGAATTAATCAATGTGTGCCCAGTAACTTTGTATACATTCTCAATCTGCCCGCCTCCGTGTTTGAGCCGCCGACAACACTGGAGCCGACAGTATTTTGCGGCAATTGTTTAATTACGTGGAATTTGCTCCGCGTCACGGATTAGTGGCACGGGCACCTCTGCACTGTCTCCGGAGGCAAACAAGCGGCGGTCACGTCACCGAGAGATTAAAAACAAGCCGAGTGAATGAGAGTGCACTAAATGTGTGCAGGCCCTGCTAAGGGCACAGCTGCAAGTACTAACACCACTCTCTCTTCGTGGCATCTTCAGACAGGAAGGAAAAACCACCCCGTTCCAGGTACGGTTTTGAGTCGATGACTGGAATGCGATCAATCTCATCAGATTTCAGAAGATAAGCAACTTGCTTGGAGCCCTATGTCACGGTCAGCCGAGGGTCGTGCAACAACATCCATTGCTGTATTGCTTTCAAGTTCCCATGACCATGCTCCCCGCTTTCACCAATGCGTATTGACCAGTTTGGTGAAGTACGATCACATTACCCCCCAACACCGGAATAGTGTGTGGGGGAGGCCCTCTACCAGCAGTGGATTTAGACACGAAGAACCATGCACTCCACTGTTCATATAATGCAGCATAATGTACTAAATGATGCATGAAACTATAACAGCGTAGTACAACGGTGTGCAGCGTAACAGTATTCTGCTTCAACATTACCACTGCCGTGACTTGTGCCAAACAGTTCAACCAGAGAGCTGTACATGTTTCGCGCACAGACTTTAAGCCAAATTTTGTCCAGATCGCCTTAAATCGCGACCAACGGCCGCGTTCACGGTGAGCCCGAAGGGGCGATGCTATCGCGCCGCCTGTACGGCGCGGGGGGGGGGCATGGGGGCCGCGCGGAATTGCAGTGGCGTCGCTGGGGTGGGCGTGAGTGGGCCTCAACGCCCGAGCGCACACCGCTCAAAAAAACCACACACGACCCCAGCTGAGGGCGCAAGAAAGGAGAAGCCTCATTTTCCTGAAAGATTCTCATTACATAAAATGCTTTAAACCAATGGCTTAGCCACTCTTTTTGATGGGACCATCAACATCTACACCTTAACTAAACAAATACGTAAACAAATACAATCCCATGGGTAGCCATAAGCAGCGTTTACAAACGAAAGTTTCCATTGCTGACATTTCACCAGGGGCAGCTGTTGATGTGGAGGCCACTTAAACAGGTGCCCAATCACGTGCCAAGTACAGTGGGAGTACGCAGTTCGTATTGCCAACACCACCACCACCCTGGCGAGCCCATCAGCCATGGAGGGGACAACTGGTGGGGCAGGCCCTCCCGGTGTCACGCTCATGGCACGTTGGTCACATGGCTGCAGTGAGTCACCGAACTCGTGTGTGGCGCTGCACGAGGAAGTGACGAGACCTGCCGCCTCCGAGCGCTCCCACCGAGCTCACCAGCACCGTGCACCAAAGAACGGGGCTGGATCTTATCTTAAACTAAAGTATGTACAATAGATGTAATGTTGGAGATGAGGTGAATTTAAAAGATGAGAGGAAGCAATGCGCAAATCTGTGAGGCGTGAATTCGGTAAGATAAAGTTCTAAAGCAAGATGCGTTTAATTTAATTTCGAACGGTGGAGTCTCTTTCGAAATCTGTTAACTATGCACATAAAATCTAAATATATATTCTGAAAAGCGCCACGTTATGTTACATTACACAATAATGTGGATCCGCGTGTTTAACTGTAAATTTAACCACAAAGTACGCTGTAGCCACCATCAGGCGCATGTAACTTCATTGGTTTCACTTCCTTGAATGGAAACCGCCGCCACTGTCACGCGCCTCCTGGCGTTGGCAGCCGCATGGCCATTCGCTGCCACACGCCGGTGCATGCCCCATGTGCACAGACGTCCTCCTGCACGGCCCTGTGGACACCGAGTGAGCCTGGGACCCTCTCTCCTGCAGCCGAACTCAACATCCCAACGTTTGTTTACATCCAGGAGATCAGTGGCGAGACCAGGAACAGTTCCCAAGTGACAGAACTTGTTCCTCTCAATTGCGACCCTCAAGGAGCCATGAAGTCCAGCTGCTCCTCCTGTCGGCCAGTCTTCCGGCAGACGAGTGAACCTCATGGCGGGACCCAGGGGTCCCGCATAAACGGAAGTCAAGATCGTAATTAATTTATTTTTGGCGACTCCGTCCCACGGCGCACATAAACGCCGCGACCCACCTGGCGCGGATCATTCTGTTGTCGTGTCGTCATAGCGCAGCAGCATGGACGAATGCGCAGAAGAAACAAAACTTTGAAACGTTGATTAGCGCATCGTGTAGAGCTCGTCGAGAGGAAAAAATTGCTGCGTCGTTCGCCTTCAACAGACATAAAATGATGTCGCAACGCAGTTTATGCGAGAGCCGGAGGTTCAAGTGAAGAATGTACCCAACACCTCCCTCGTTTCAGCAAGACAACATCAGAAGGGAATGCAACAGTACTAGGGATCATGGCAAGGGCAATGCAAATTAAGGACTCCTGATCCTTGATGTCAGACAGCGGACATGGGGGACCAGCTGCGGTCATCACTTTCAAATCAACAAACGAATTTATGAAGGGAATGTAAAAGTGGTGAATTTAAAAGTAGCTACACGTCCGGTGTCCAAAATCAATGGGGGTCTGTCCTAACTCTTTGCATACCGTGTACATACAATGCTTTGTTGACAATTCTTCCGAAGGGCCTCGCACTCAGGGAATTCAACATCTGTCAGAAATACTCAACGAAAACAACTAATTATTATCAGGAGAGACATGTCTCTTGCGGTAGCCCGCCAACGTTGCCGAAACAATCCCCACTGGGCGCTAGCGTAGAACCGCAACAGTAACAACTCGTGTGCCTCGCGGTAAAAAGTTCCTGGGTTCGATTCCTAACTCGGGCGATTTTCTTCCTGGCGTCCGTACGTTCTTCCCCTGTCCTGCAAGGTTTCCTCTGAATTCTCACATTTTCTCCCGATGACAAAAAAAGAAAACCATTCAACGTAACTGGTATAGGCCAAACATCTCAATGCTGAAAATGGACATTGCCTGCATATTTCTCAATTAGGATTAAATTTTGCAACATCGTCTCCTACTGTGAAATCTTGAAAGGACACCTAGAATATAAGTCTTAAGATTAATTACGGCTTTCCTGGGTAAACACGTGTAATAATACAAAGAATAGAAATCAGTTTCCCACCGGTTGGGAAAGACTGGGAAAGCGTGTTCGTACACTCCCGTGTTGCCTTGTGTTTATTCGGCTGTGGCTATACAAGGATGATAAGACCACTGTCCCAGCGAGGGTCATGCGGTTCGGTGGAGGTGAGTCATATCCCCACAGTGAACAGCAACGTCATGACCTCGCTTATTCAGGCACATGGTGGCCGACAATAATCACGCGCTTGTTGTTATCATATCGGGACTTATTGGACCCCACTTCCTTATCGCTGTGTCCCCCCCCCCCGTGCCCATTCTGGTACCCAGTGGTACAACCACTTCAGGCCCTTGCAGAGGTGTGTGGGCAGAATTCTGTGCCCATCAATCCATTGCACGGAAAAGGATGGCCAAGGGAATGTGAAATAAGAAGTTACACAATTGCTAATTACAAATGATGGGAGCATGGAGTGGATCCAATCACAAAACATTCAGAGTTCTGTTTAGCGGGCCACTTGCTCTGTATTTTAAACTTAAAAAGTTTTTGCCCTATAAACAGTAAGAACAGCCTATAGCCATGAACATTTAAATTCACGGTTTGACAAAACAGGCTTTGTGCGCTATGCTAACACATTAAATAATTCGGCACAGACTCACGAATTGGGCCCCTGGGGATTGAAGAGATAAAAACGGAACATTTTTTTTTAAATTTCTGGAGCTACACAGAGGTGACACGTGAATTCTACAGCCTTCACCAAATGTGAAGAAACACCCCACAATGCAGCAGTGGCTTGACATTTTTTTCATTCCACAGTGCACAAAACAATGCCTGTCATGATAACGCTGAATTGCGCAATCCTGCAAATGTATCCGTGAACACTGTACGTGTAGTTCATTTCTTACCAATGTCTAAACAACCGACTCTTTTTTTTTAACCTTTTCCAATGCTATAGTAATAGTGATCTTCTCCTGATGGAGATGTGGAATTTCCACCACTGCCTGAGAGCGCCCAGTGTCAGA